ATGTTAGCTGTGGGTCTGTCATAATTGCATCCCATGCTGTGAATGTAGACTTCGAGACTGCTGAAGAGCCAGGGAGGAAAGCAGGGTAAGGGGCAAGTAAAACATTGCAAAATTTTCCTAATTTTTCTCTTTTATGAGTAGACTTCATTTCTAGAGGAATTTTAGGTCCACAGCAAAATTAAACAGAAGGGACAGAGATTTCCCATTGATGTCACCTTTGTCCTTGTATTTTTAATTAAACTGTTCCATAGATTTTATTCACGTGATGAGTAACAGTCACATGGAGCACAGAGGGATGCTGAGGGAGGGCTCCAGATCAGGGGCTGGATTTGAAACTGTCCCAATTGTCCCACAGAACTGATGTTTATGGTTTCTTTGAATAAACAGAAATTGGTCCTTCCAGGCCAGGTGTGGTGGCTCATGCCTGTAATCCCAGCACTTTGGGAAGCTGAGGTGGGAGAATCACTTGTGCCTAGGAATTTAAGATCAGCCCGGGCAATGTGGTGAAACCCCATCTCTACAAAAAAATTAAAAAATTTGCCAGGTGTGGTGGCATGCGCCTGTAGTCCCAACTACTTGGGGCTGAGGTGGAAGACTCACTTGAGCCCAGGAGGTTGAGGCTACAGTGAGTGGTGATCATGCTGCCGCACTCTAGCCTGGGTGACAGAGCAAGACCCTGTCTCAGAAAAAAAAAAAAAAAAAAAGAAAGAAAAAGAAAAAGAAAAGAAATGGATTCCCCCAGTCTTAAAACTTGAGAAGCTCACATTTGTCCTGCGTTCCTTTCTCAGGAAAACCAACCATCAGACCTCCCAGATAGTATCAAGGAGCTCCAACTTACCAGATCATTGCATCTGGACAATGAGAACCCACACTCCTCATCAGTCATGATTGCCTAACCAATCACCTGATTCCTGTTCCAAATCCTCTTTCTTATTTCTCCCTAAGTTCTGTTTTCCCACAGTTACGTTTCTTCCCTGCTACACAAACCCCTGATTTTGGTCAGTCAGGGAGATGGATGTGAGACTGATCTCCCATCTTCTTGGCTGCAGCACTCAATTAAAGCCTTCTTCCCTTGCAATACTCATTGTCTCAGTGATTGGCTTTCTGACTGGCAAGCAGCAGGACCTAGACCCAACTCCTGTTGTTTCAGTAACAGATTCTGCCCAGTACTAACATGGCAGCCTCCAAGACAAGAGAAGGGAATTGGTCCTTTCTGTGAAAGCCAGGACAGAATATCAAGAATTGTTTGTCTGTCTTCTGGCTCACAATGGCCTTGGGGCCTTGTTCTCTATCTCCTGAGTACTGGAGAACAGAGAAGTCTCAGAAGGCGGACATTGGGAAGGTAAAAAAAAATAAGAGGATGGAAGGGGGTGTTGGAGAAAATAAAAACAAAATCTCCTGCTAACCCAGAAAATCCCCTACACAAACGTAGAAAATAAAGATAAGTTTTATTACCAAATAATATTGAACTGGACTGGGAAGCACATCATATACAATCTGCTAATCAGATGCCAGACAGAAAGAGATCTTACTTTTTATCTAGTTGGGCAGATACAATCTATTACAAACATGTCCTCAAAATTAATGGTAATTTGCCCCCTTGTAAGAGGATTTGACATTGTTTGCTGTACAATTTTTCATAGTTCATCCTAAATTCACCTGGTAATTGGAGTAGCCATCTTTTAATTGCCTTTATCAAAAATAAAAAATAAAACTTTTATCTATGACAAACGGGCGGTTACCAGTTTGGAGCTAGGCACCTAAGCTAAACTCCCAAGGTGACAGGGAGATAAGGGCACTATCTTCGTCACTGTTTACATTTCAAAGAGATGGCTCACCAGACCTTTGGGGGAAACATTCCTATTTCGTAAAGCTGGCCGGTGCTTATTCAGCGTTTCAAGTGTCAGGTACATATCAAAGCGGCATTTACACATAGATTTCTTACGGAGATACTCCAAGGGCAGGAGGTCAGGTTTATTTCCCTTTCAGTAACAAATAAAATTTAATTCAATTTGTATTTGCCATTAAGATTTAAACGCTCCTCCTATGAGCTGAAGGTCTGATCTGCAAAGCCCCAATTGCCGTGTTGCACAAGGTATCAGCGTAGCCCAGTTTTAAAAATATTATTATTTTTAAAATATATATATTTAACTCCTGGCCTCAAGCCATCTCCAGCTTCAGCCTCCCTCGGCGTTACAGGAATCACAGGCGCACGCCACCACGCCCGGCTCCAGTAGCACAGATCTGAATCGGAATCTTAGATAAGAGGCCAGAGAGCCAGACTCCATCCTGAGTGAGGCTTCCCTCCTCCAGAAACTGGATGAGAGTCTGTCACTAACTCTGAGGACTTCGACAAGAGGAGGGTGACTACAGGCCACCCACAGGAGTGCACTGGTGTTGAGGGTAAGGGTTCAACTGAGACGCTGGGAGGCGGTTTTGCCCTGCCTGTGTCCCACAGGCAGCACGAAGTCGAATCTACATAGGGCTCACATAAGCTAGTTCGCATGCTATGGAGCCTCAGCCCAGGGAATTCAGTGGGTCCAGTGCAGGAAACTCTGTACCTAGTGCACACCTGACAGTTCGCGCACTGCTCCGGCTAGATTCGCCAATGAGAAATGACTTCCCTCGGTAACCCCAGCTTCCGAAAGCGCCTGCCGAAGCTGCCGCAGAGGCTTGTGGGGAGTGTAGAATTTTTTTTTTTTTTTTTTTTTGGCAGAATGGGCCTAGAGGACAGAGACTTCACCCGGGAGCCAGAATCTGTTTTCAGCATGGTTTTTTTTTTTTTTTTTTTTTGAGACGGAGTCTCGCTCTGTCGCCCAGGCTGGAGTGCAGTGGCGCGATCTCGGCTCACTGCAAGCTCCGCCTCCCAGGTTCACGCCATTCTGCCTCAGCCTCCCGAGTAGCTGGGACTACAGGCGCCCGCCACCTCGCCCGGCTAGTTTTTTGTATTTTTAGTAGAGACGGGGTTTCACCGTGTTAGCCAGGATGGTCTCGATCTCCTGACCTCGTGATCCCCCCGTCTCGGCCTCCCAAAGTGCTGGGATTACAGGCGTGAGCCACTGCGCCCAGCCCAGCATGGGTATTTTAAGAAGAGACGGAGAGGATGTCACTGCAGTAGCCAATGTTGTGGAAAATTAACTGTTGCACGGCCCAGAAGCGGCTACGTGGCGGCCAATGGGAGCCGAAGCCTGCGAGGATGTTGGGAACTGTAGTTCTGGCGTAGGTCGACGGCCGAGGTCCCGGGCCCGCTGGCTCGGGTGAGCGCGGCCTCTGCGGCTCCTTGGCCCCTGGATGCCCTCTCTCGTGGGGAAAGGAGGTTCGGGAAAGGCCGGGTGTAGGTTAGGACGCAGGGTAGAGTGTGGCCGATGGGGAGTGCGGGTTGGAAATACTTGGTTTTTGGAGGAGGGGGCGCGGCTCGCGGTGCTCCCTGGGATTGGGCGATGGGGTGAGCCCCTGCTTGCCCGGACCTCTGCGGACCTTTTTTCCCCTGGGGGGACGAGAGTGACCTGGAATTCTATCGTCTGTCTTGTGAGAGTGACCTGGAATTCTAACGTCTGTCTTGAACCAGGCGGGATTATTCTGGGTCAACCGGTTTTCGAATAGGAAGGGCGGCCCCAGTTGTGCGTCCTGGGGTTTATTTGGGCTGTGGGGTTGAGTTCTGCCAGGGCCAAATGGACCAACATCCCCAAGGCTGGAATGGGGACGTGGTTAGGTCCGCACATCCCTGTGTGGTTTTTGGCTGGGGAGCGTTCTGAGTCCTGCATCTCCGAGTTTTTCTGTGTTTTGGGTGGGGCCGGATATGTCCCAAGTGGTGAGGAGGGTGGTTAGGGGGAGGCCATCTCAGGCCTTGATGCTTGATGGGCCTTGGTTTGTTAGGGGTTGCAGGGGTGGAAGTGGAGGTGAGCTAGACGTGGTCAGAATATCCTGAGAGGGTCTGGGCGAGTGTCTTGGGTCAGGAGTCCCTGGGGTTTTTAGGGAGGTGAGGGAGGTTTTGTCCTCTAATAATAGCGGGCTGTATCACTCTGACATACATCTAGGTAGTTTTTTTTTTAATGGGGACAGGCCTTTTCTCTGGGACTTGTTATCTCAAGGCGTGTCATGTGGAAGGTGCCCCCTGTGCTTTGTGGCAGAGATCCTGGGTTTGGTCGTCATCTGGGTGGCCCATCTGGCTGACTCCTTCTTTCCTGGACTGCTTTTCCCTCACACGTTAGGGCCAAACATCTGGTTTGGGGCTGTGAAGGGTTAGGTATGGTGGAGAACTCTGATGCCTTCTGGTCGGCAATCCAAATCACTTCTGGCATATGGCAAGTTCTGGATATCAGGCATTTAATTTTATTTTTAATTTTTTCGTAAGGGCAAATTTTAAACCTACCCAGTAGAGCCATTCAGTGAACTGCCATGGACCTGTCACCAGATTCAACATTTGTTAACTCATGGCCAATTCTGTTTCATCTACATCCCCTAAACCCTATGTATGGATACACTTTGAGAATTGTCAGACCCCATAGGGATTGGTCACTGCTGACATCATTACTGGCCCAGCTGGCTAAGGGTGTGGCGCTCCACAGCTAGACTTCAAATCTAGGCACTTTCTAGCATTGTCAATTTGAGGAAGGTATGTAACTCATGGAGCTTTGGGTAGGTAAAACTTGTATGGTGCCTGGAATTGTCTCTGGTATACAGTCAGAGTTTAGTAAGTGTTAACTATTACTAATAATATTACAACTTGAGGCCCATAGGCATTAAAGGGATAAATATGTAATAGCAGCTTGTCAGGGCAGACTGTATTCTGATGTCCCCACGTGGCTCTGTGCCCTAGAAGCTGTTTACATTATTCTCTCCTCTGACAGATCTGAGGTTTTCTTGTTAAAGGAAGAGGAGGCCTGCTCAATTTTTTTTTTTTTTTTTTTTTTTTTTGAGACACAGTTTCACACTTGTTGCCTAGGCTGGAGTGCAGTGGTGCGATCTCGGCTCACCACAACCTCAGCCTCCCAGGTTCAAGCGATTCTCCTGCCTCAGCCTCCTGAGTAGCTGGAATTACAGGTAAGCGTGACCATGCCTGGCTAATTTTGTATTTTTAGTAGACACGGGGTTTCTCCATGTTGGTCAGGCTGGTCTCAAACTTCTGACCTCAGGTAATCTACCTGCCCTGGCCTCCCAAAGTGCTGGGATTACAGATATGAGCCACCGCTCCCAGCTGGCCCACTCATTTTAAACTTGGGGATTTCTAGCCTCCATATCTGGGTGCTAGGAGACAATCCTGAAATTCACACTGCCTGTTTCATCCTCAGGTCCACCTTCTCCAATACCTGCCTGCTGGGAGAGGACTATCTCTTGAGAAAGGAAGGACTTCTGTGCTCCTGAGAACCTCCTATCAGGTAGGTACCACTTACCTTTCACATTCCTATAGTGTCTTTTCTGCTCGAAACCATGGCTGAATTTCCTTTGCCCATCTGACATCTTGTACCCTGAAGTGTCCAAATTGAGGCTCAAGGCCTTGCTTGTTTTTCTACAATAGTGGGGCGATTTTAAGGGCAAGGATCTCCACAGGGAATATTACCCCAGACTGGTACTCTCATTGAGGTAACCACCATCTTTGCCCCAGGCATATTTCATCCTGGCTGCTGGATTCCCAGGGATTTGTCAGCTACTGTGAAATAAAAAATGATGGTAATTGGGCCACTGTTATCTGCCAGGCAACTGAGTTTATGGTCTCCATAATATTTTAAACTCTCAACAATTTGAAAGTTAGGAATCAAAACTCTGAATTGATAGAAGTGTCATGTTACAGAGGTTAAGAAATTTACTTGTGTAATATGACTGGGTTGGGTAGAATTAGGATTTAGAACTTCTTTAGTTACCAACATTCTATAATCCGTGTTTCATTGAGCCCCCTGCCCCCTCATTTTCTTGTTTTTGCTGCTGGAGTATTTGGAAGGAAATCCCAGACATCACATAATTTTACCTAAAAATACTATCATATGCATTTCCAACAGAGAAGGACTGTTTGTTAAAAATGTAACCATAATATTACCACATTCAACAAAACCGACAGTAATTCCTTAATGTCTTAATTCTAGATTGTTTTAAAATCTGCTCATTTCTTCTAAAAAAGTGCCATTGCTTAGTGCACACTGTACACACTTAACAATTCAGGTAAGAAGTATAAGAGGGAGAAGTATCTGGAATTCAGCAAGGCCAATTCTCCCTCTCCCTTTTCACTTTACCTGTTGCTGATTTCTGTTAATGACTGTGTCTTCCACCCCTGGTCACCAACGGGAGCTCTGAGTCTTTCTTGCCACCTTGTTATTTCTGAAATTCTTATCCTTCTTTTTTTTTGTTTTTGAACAAGAACTTATTTCTTAAAATTTACTTAAGGGATTAGAGCTGATATATAATAGAACATTTAATATAACATTTAGAGTTATGTTAACATAAAAATAGCTGTGGTTACAATTAGCATATACAATTCACTGCAAAGGTAAAAATACATGCTATCCTCTAGACAAGTCTTCCAAATGAAGTTAGAGTAGATGGGGTGAAACAGCAAGTGAACATGAAAGGATTGCACTTAGAAGAAAGTAGGACATAGCTAGGATATCAAAGAGACATACCTAATGCTAATCACTGCATTGTCCTACTGGCAAATTGCACATTTATTTTTAGAGTATATTCAATACACATATACACTGAGACTAGAGAATTTTCAAATATCTACCTTTGAAATATCCCTTTGTTTCTAACACATACGTTATAGTATTAATGTAACAGCACTTAAAACCTGTAGTTATTATTCAAAGCTTGTGTTCAAGAGATAAAAGAACATCATTCAGACAAAGCTTGTGTTCAAGAGATAAAAAAACATCGATCACTATCTGCCTTAAATGCATCTCATCACGATCTATCAACTTTAATGAAATGGATATTGAAGTTAAACTAACCAGTTTGTACAAACTATTGACCGAGAAAAAGCCCTTAAAAATTTAGGAAGAAATGAATAACAGAAGCGCTCACCCTGAGCTGCCACCTTTTAATTTTTTTCTTTTTTTTTTTTTTTTTTTTGAGACAGAGTCTCGCTCTGTCGCCCAGGCTGGAGTGCAGTGGCCGGATCTCGGCTCACTGCAAGCTCCGCCTCCCGGGTTCACGCCATTCTCCTGCCTCAGCCTCCCGAGTAGCTGGGACTACAGGCGCCTGCCACCTCACCCGGCTAATTTTTTTTTTTTCTATTTTTAGTAGAGACGGGGTTTCACCATGTTAGCCAGGATGGTCTCAATCTCCTGACCTCGTGATCCGCCCGTCTCGGCCTCCCAAAGTGCTGGGATTACAGGCTTGAGCCACCGCACCCGGCGCCACCTTTTAATTTTTAATGCAATGTATGTTAGAATATCATGCTAATGCACATACTAGTAGCGTGTGTGATGGAAAAAAATAGGTTAATGCAAAAGATAATACGTTTGGCTTTGTAAAGTTTTGTTTTGACTTATATCTGTCTGAATTCTGTTTATTGAGTCTGAAAAGGAACTGCTGCCAAGGACCAGTCCAAAGAAGAATTAGGCTGTTTAAGCCTGCTAGTTCATACCTTCTTTGAAATCGATGACAATGCCCAATTTTAGGCTAACCCTAAAACACTTGCCATTTTATGACTCCATATTCTTTTAATTTACAGAAAAATACAAACTTTTTAAAAAGTAATCTTGGCCGGGCGCGGTGGCTCAAGCCTGTAATCCCAGCACTTTGGGAGGCCGAGACGGGCGGATCACGAGGTCAGGAGATCGAGACCATCCTGGCTAACACAGTGAAACCCCGTCTCTACTAAAAATACAAAAACTTAGCCGGGCGAGGTGGCAGGCACCTGTAGTCCCAGCTACTCGGGAGGCTGAGGCAGGAGAATGGCGTGAACCCGGGAGGCGGAGCTTGCAGTGAGCTGAGATCCGGCCACTGCACTCCAGCCTGGGTGACAGAGCGAGACTCCGTCTCAAAAAAAAAAAAAAAAAAAAAAAAAAAAAAAAAAAAGTAATCTTATCAGAGCAATATAATCTAATAATACCTATATTGTTATAATCTAACAATACCTATAATAGAAAGCTAGCCCAGTAAATTTTTTTGAACAATTGAACTTTTATGTAGCTTATAACTTTGATATTGAAATTCTCATCCTTCTAATTAGTGATGGAGTCCTCTCAGTTCTACCTTGGCATACCCCTTTATTCTTTTCCCCTCATCTCAGTGCTGTGCTATCCAAATTTTCATCTCTTCTCCACCACTAGTTCACCTTCCACCCTGCCTTTTAAGTTGCTCCTCTGAAGAAAAAATAAAGATCATGCCACTCACCTACTCAAGCGGGCCATTTCTTATTACCTACCTTCAACTCTGTCCAAACTCAGTAATTACAGTGTGAAGCCACGTGTGGTGGCTCATGCCTGTAATTCAGCACTTTGGGAGGCTGAAGGGATAGATCGCTTGAACTCAGCCTGGGCAACATGACAAAACCCCGTCTCTACTAAAAATAGAAAAGTTAGCTGGGCATGGTGGTGCAGACCTGTGGTCCCAGCTACTCAGGAGGCTGAGATGGGAGGATGGCTTGAGCCTGGAAAGTGGAGGTTGCAGTAAGCCGAGATCGCACCACTGCACTCCAGCCTGGGTGTGGGCTCTGGAGACAGACTGCCTAGATTCAAAGCCGGTCTTTACCACACATTAGCTGTGTAACCTTGGAGACATTATTTCACTGTGTCTTCTACTCCTCATCTGTATAATGGGGAAAATAATAGTGCCCATCTCAGGGAGTTGTGCGGAAGAAATGTGGTAATTCCTGTAAGGCCTGGCAGATAATTCCTATAAGGTAGTGCCTGGCACATAGTATATGCTTAGTAAATATGAACTGTGATTGTTAATATTGATATCTGATTAATATGTGAATTATCTCTCAACTCACCTTTTCAGTCTTGTCCCTACCAGTTACTCCTTTTGTAGTAGTGCCCTTGTAGCTGTATGGGAATAGATTCCATTCTGTACTGTTTTATTCCTCTGTGGTTTTCTACTTGGCAATTGAACTCCTATTGATTTAGTCACACATTTACTCCATTGCAAAGCATGCCTTGATTTTCTCAGGCAAAACTGTCCTCAGCCTCTTCTTTAGCACCAAACAACTTTTTATTTTTTTGGAGACGGAGTTTTGCTCTTGTTGCCCAGGCTGGAGTGCAATGGTGCGATCTCGGCTCACCACAACCTCTGCGTCCCGGGTTCAAGCTCCTGAGTAGCTGGGATTACAGGCATGCGCCACCATGCCTGGCTAATTTTGTATTTTTAGTAGAGATGGAGTTTCTCCATGTTGGTCAGGCTGGTCTCGAACTCCCGACCTCAGGTGATCCGCCCGTCCTGGCCTCCCAAAGTGCTGCGATTAAAGGCATGAACCACCGCACATGGCTGATGGTAAGTCTTATCCTTCCAACTGCTCGAGGCAAAAATCTTAGAATTGTCTTGATTTTTCTTTTCATCTCGCAAATCACATACAGTAAAGAAATTCAGGATGTGATTGCTACTCACCACCTCCGCTGTGTCCACTTTTGTCCAAATCACCATTCTCTCCCACCTGAATTATTTCAACAGCCTTTATGGGATTTCCTTGCCTCTCTCCTTGTCCCCTGTCCCGTTTGTCTGTTCCTAGTCTACTAGCCAGAGACATCTTTTAAAATGTAAGTCCAAGCTTGTTATTCCTCTGCTCCAAATCCTCCCATGGCTTCTCATTTCCCTCCACATCAAAACCAGCATGCTCAAGACTGCACATGACCTGTGCCCTGGTACTGCTGTCCTTGACTGCTTTTAACTGCCACCAGTGTCTCACACCTTCCTGCCACAGGGAACGTATTTCTGAAACAGCAGGGCTCACTCCTGCCCTAGGACCTTCAATGGGCTGGTTTCTTTCCTTATAGTTCTGTTGACACAGTAGCCCACACGAATCACTCCCTCACATTGTTCAGATCTCAAGTAATCACCTTTAAAAAGCTTTCCTTAAATACTCAATTTAAAATTGCAACTCCTCCAGTCTCTACCACTGGATCCTTCTGGTGCCCTCAGTGCGTATCGCCATCTGACATCTTGTGTCTTTTCTGAGCTATATTTTATTTTTATCCATCTCCTTGCCCCTACCGCACTAAAATGGCAGCTACACGAGGGCTGGTATTTTTTCTGTTGCATTTGCAGCAGTATCCCAAATGTTGGAACAGTCCTTAGCACACAGTGGGCACTGGTAATTATGGAACGATTGAATAGCTCAATCAGCAGCACGTAGAGCCAGCTGTGGGAGGCATGGATAAGGAGTATCGGGGTGTGGGGGAGATCTGCAGAGACCGCTGTCAGGAGGCTGTTGCTGTTGTCTGAGCTTCCCAGCTGGTGTGGGGTGATGGGAGGCAGCTCTGAGGTGGACAGAATCTACAGGCCTTTGTAATTGGTTAGGCGTGGCAGGGAGGCATAGAGTCAGTGATGACCCAGAGGTCAAGTGTGGTGATGGAACTGGGAGTCTTGGAAGTGAAGAAGCTGAGGAAAGAAGGAGTAGCAGGTTAGGAAGAGAAGGAAAGGAGACTAGGTGTTTATGTGACAGCTTGCGGACTGCCCTGCTCACGGCACTGCACACCTCAGCTGGGCTCTCCGTGACAGGGCGCTGTCATATTTCCCTGATATCTGCAAAGCTCATCCCAGTGCCTAGCTTGTAGCAGATGTTCAGTAAGTGTTTGCTGAAGTGAGATGTCCAGCAGGCAGGAGGAAACATGGTCTGGGAGCTATGTGGGGTGTTCTCGGATTCCTAGAAAAAACAAACAATGGCAAAATGATAACTATAGATAGTCGTTTGTAGCTTAGCTGACTTTTCACTTATAGGGTTCCAGCATTCTCCAGCATTCTGAAGCCATTCCAAAGCTCCAGTATAAATAGTGTGAAAACTGTGGCTTTCTAGTGTCCATCACTAGATTCTACCCAAAGAGACAATTCTGATCATAGCTCACTGGCAAATCAAGTCACATGGTCACTCCTGAGTTCAATGTGATAGGGTGTATACCTATAAGGAGTGGCACACACTTGGGGATGGAGAGTGAAACATGCTACTACAAGGACGCAAGCCCATAAACCCATTCTCACCCAGCCCTAGTCCCCACTATTGATTGGGCCTTCAACGTGCTAAGATTTGTGGCTGTGCCTAGAACACATTTGGTAGCTGTGTAAACTTAAAGACAAATAAACCAACCTCTTGGTGCCCCAGTTTCCTCCTCTGTGAGATGGAAAGAATAGCGGCATCCACCTCTTGGCTGTGTTGTGAAGATTACCGGAAATCTGTACTTAGTAACCAGGCATGGTGGCTCATGCTTATAATCCCAGTGCTTTGGGAGGCCAAGGCAGGCAGATCACGAGGTCAGGAGTTCAAGACCAGCCTGGCCAACATGGTGAAACCCTGTCTCTACTAAAAATTCAAAAATTAGCCGGGCGTGGTGGCAGGCACCTGTAATCCCAGGTTCTTGGGAGGCTGAGGCAAAAGAATCACTTGAACCCAGGAAGCAGAGGTTGCAGTGAGCCGAGATCGCGGCACTGCACTCCAGCCTGGGCAACAGAGTGAGACTCTGTCTCAAAAAAAAAAAAAAAGTCTGCACTTAAAGATCTTGCTTTATAAATGTTAGCTACAGATACTAGTGTTACTAGGAGAAAGGTTTTGTCAGCTTCAGCTACGTTGTACTGCAGGTATTATAGGTTGGCTTTAGCTTTGTACCATGACCTTTTACTATAGAACCACAGTCCCTTTGGGGACATGCCGTTCTCAGAACAAGAGAAATGGTGGAATTATGCAATGCTTAGAAACGGCATCGTTGGCCGGGCGCAGTGGCTCAAGCCTGTAATCCCAGCACTTTGGGAGGCCGAGACGGGCGGATCACGAGGTCGGGAGATCGAGACCATCCTGGCTAACACGGTGAAACCCCGTCTCTACTAAAAAAATACAAAAAACTAGCCGGGCGAGGTGGCGGGCGCCTGTAGTCCCAGCTACTCGGGAGGCTGAGGCAGGAGAATGGCGTGAACCCGGGAGGCGGAGCTTGCAGTGAGCTGAGATCCAGCCACTGCACTCCAGCCTCGGCGACAGAGCGAGACTCTGTCTCAAAAAAAAAAAAAAAAAGAAACGGCATCGTTGCTTTCACTCACATTCATTTTCCAAGGCAAGTTACAAGGTCAAGCCTGATGTCTGGGACAGGGAAGTACCATCTTTTTATAGGGTAACAAATAATTGGGAATGATGATAAAATCTACCACAAAGGCCTCTTTTATCCTAATCACTAAAAGTAGATTAGCAAAAAGACTGAGATTCATTTCATCTTACAAGAAGCTTCACAGTTTAGTCAAGACAGTCATGTAAATAGAGAAATTGTAATATGGTATGATGCCCAGGTTGGACAGAAGAGGGAGTGGTCATCTCTGCCTATGGTGTTGAGGGATGAATTACAAGAGCTGCTTAGAGACCCCAGCTAGTCTCAGAAGGGTACTAGGCAACAATAGGCCTGTAGTCATTTTTGCTGAAATCCTGCACAGTGTCTGAGGAGCTACTGAAGGTGGCATAACTCCTAATACCACCTGCCTTCTCTGGGACCACATCAGTGTAGGACTTTGATTTGGGCCCATCAGGATACACAAATGCACATCTCTGGTAAGGTCATGTGGTAGACATGCATAGAAATGGAAGCTAGGAGGTTATCACTTTAGAGTAATTGTGAGACCTGGAGCTCTGCCTTAAGTAAGAAGGACTGACTTTTGATCTCCTAAACTCCTCAGAATACCAGGGACATAGGGATCTTTTTTTTTTTCCTTTTTTTGAGACAGGGTCTTACTCCTGTCGCCCAGGCTAGAGTGCAGTGGCACGATCTCAGCTCACTGCAGCCTTGACTCCCTGAGCTCAGGTGATCCTCCCACCTTAGCCTGCTGAGTAGCTAGGGCTACAGGCACACACCATCATGCCCAGCTAATTTTTGTATTTTTTGTAGAGATGGCATTTCGCTATGTTGCCCAGACTGGTCTTGAGCCCCTGAGCTTAAGCAATTAGCTTGCCTTGGCCTCCCAGAGTACTGAGATTACAGGTGTGAGCCACTGTGCCCATCCAAGACATAAGTAACTGAATATAGATGGAACCTGGGGTTGGGGCAGGGGAATCAGAAGCTGAGTTCTGCACGCCTTGATTGGTCTGCAGGAAACAGTCAGAGGCTCTTTCTCCATAGGCATTATGTTATATTCTGTCTTCTCTCTGACTCAGGCTTCAGGTAGTAGCAGAGACTGATCTGAAACATAGAGTTTGAATCTGAGGTACAGAGGCAGAAGAAGTAAGATTTGAGAGCTAAGGGAGAGTGGCAGAACATAAGCATGAGGGCCTAGAAATGAAGGTAGAGTGAATGAAGGTAGAAAATCCAGGGAACCCTTGTAGATGGAGACTCTATGTTTGTTGAATGAGGAGGGTGTGAGAGAACAGGATCTCTGTTGAAGAGGCATAAGCCTAGGGCCCACAATAAAAGCCCCAGCAATAGCAAATTGCTTCTTCATCCCACAGGTCCTGGCTGCATGGAAACAAGATGAGCTTTTACAATTAAGGTTGGTAGAAGTCACCACAGGCAGCAGAACTCCATCTTGAGATGAAATAACATCTACCTGGACCTCTGGCAGAATTTCAAGGCTCACACTGGGCTGACTCTGGGGCCATGATGTTGCCTCATCCTTCAGCACTGGGAGATCAATACTGGGAAGAGATGTTGCTTTCAAAGAATGGGGAAAATGTAGAGACCATGAAGAAATTGATCCAAAATCATAAAGCGAAAGGTGAGAATTGTTGAGGGGCCAGAAAGATGAAGAGGGAGCCAAGTCTCCAGGTTCACCTGAAAATGCTTCAGAGGTCACCTCTGAGTAAAGTGACTCCTTCCTTCATCCTAAGGCTCAAAAGAGCTGCTCAGGGAGCCTGGGGGGCGGGGGGTCTGGTTTCCCATAGCTTCTTTTTCTTTCACTAGGCTTGCCTTCTAATGATACTGACTGGCCCCAGGAAAAGGAGGGAAAGGCCCAAATAGTGGTGAGTTGGGATTACATTTTTTTTTTCCTCTGAAGTGCTGGCTCATTTCCTAGAGAACAGACATATATTCTCTTTCTTGGGAAGGGAAAAGGCGGTCAACATCTGGGTAGATGAGTGAAGCATTAGGCTTTCTTGAAAAAAGTTGTTAAAGCACATAGCAAAGACAGGGATTTTACAGATCCCATTTAGTAACCTGAGCTTTTAAGAAATGCTCATTCCAGACCCCATCTGTTCACTCCCATTTTTCTCTGTAATCAAAGTTTTCTTCCATTCTTTCTAAATCTTTACCACTGCCTGCTGCCCAGCACAAGCCCTAAGTCTGTGATGCTTTTGTTCCTTCTGCAGCCCATTCTCTGCTGTTTTATCTCTGAATTCCTTCATTATGAATTCTCAAGGTCACTGTCCTAAACACAGCCTGAGGTTTACAAAGTAATTCACAAATCATTTCTCCAATGAAATCATACATGTCAAGGGCCTAGAATGTGTTCTGTGCTCAGTTATGCTCCTCACAGATTTTAACAGAAAACTAGGCACACAGTAGTGTTCAGAATTTCTTCATAGGAAGAACCATATATTCTGATGAATTACATCAACTTGCATATCCAGGCTCTCCAGGGTCACCAGCTGTGCTCCACACACAGGGAAGATTGATGGTGGTTTGCTATACATTAATTTACTGGTTGTTTGTAGGTACCAGTTACATTCAGGGATGTGGCTGTGATCTTCACAGAAGCAGAATGGAAGAGACTGAGTCCAGAGCAGAGGAATCTATACAAAGAAGTGATGCTGGAGAATTATAGGAATCTTCTCTCATTGGGTGAGGCTGTGTTCTTTCCTTTCCTTCATTAATTCAGTAGCGATTTATTGATCACCTACTATGTACCACAAAAAAATGTTCTAGATATTTACAACACATTAGTAAACAAAATCGTAATCCCTGCCTCCATGGGGCTTACTTTCTAGTATAAGGAGACAGACAACAAACCAAAAGCTTCATATACAGGGATATTATAATACGGTATGTTAAAAGGTGATAAGTGCAACTTAGTAAAAAATAATGATATAAGGCAGGATAAAGGGGTATTGGGTATGATAGGGTGACTGGCTGAATTTTAAAACTGGGTATTTGAAATCACTGAAGTAGTAATATTTGGCTAAAGACATAATGTGGTGAGGAGGTTAGAACTGTAGGTATCTAGGGTAAGAGCATTTCAGGTGGAGGGAATTACTGACACGCAGACCTTAATGAAGGGATGTACCTGCCCAATACATGAAGCTGCAAGGAGGCCAATGAGGCTGGGGGCATGGTTTGCAAGGGGGAGAGTAGGGAGAGATGCAGCTCTGTGATGTAAGTTAAAATTAAGAGTCAAGTTTATTGTGGTTTGGGGGTTTCATAAACCATGTTTTTTTCTTTTTCGTTTGTTTGCAAACCTAAACGAGGTCAGGAGATCGAGACCATCCTGGCCAACATGGTGAAACCCCGTCTCTACTAAAAATACAAAAATTAGCTGAGTGTGGTGGCATGTGCCTGTAATCTCAGCTACTTGGGAGGCTGGGGCAGGAGAATCGCTTGAACCAGGGAGTCGGAGGTTGCAGTGAGCTGAGATTGTGCCATTGCACTCCAGCCTGGTGACAGAGTGAAACTCAGTCTGAAAAAATAAAAAATAAAAATAAAAAAATTATTTAAATCTGGGTTGATAAATGTCAATTGCAACATAACTCTAGATGAGGGATTGGCCAACTTTTTCTGTAAAGGGCCAAACAATAACTGTTTTTGCAGGTGATAAGGCCTCTGTAACAACCCTTAACTTGCCATTGAGTTGCAGCCATAAACAATACGCAAACGAATGAGCGTGGATATGTTCCAATAAAACTTTATAGACACTGAAATTTGAATTTAATATTATGTTTATGTATCATGAAATATTACTACTCTTTTTACTTTTTTCTAGCCACTTAAAAATGTAAAAACCATTCTTAGCTTGTAGGTGATACAAAAACAGAGGACTGGATTTAGCTTGTGGGCAGTCATTTTCCACTCCTTGTTCTAGATCAGTGCTGTCTAGTAGAAATATAATGTGAGCCACATAGGTAATTTTAAATTTCCTAGTAACCACGTTTTTACAAGTGTAACTACAGGTGAAATCAACTTTAAGAATATATATATTATTTAACCCAATATATTAAAATATCATTTTAACATGAAATTAACCTAAAAACTTATTAATTAGGTATTTTACTTATATTTTTTGTCCTGTGTTCAAAACCTGGTTGTATTTTACACTTAGAGCACATCTTAGTTCAGATTAGCCACATTTCAAGTGTTCAGTAAACACATGGCCAGTGGCTGCTATACTGGAGCTTACTGTTCTAGATATTCCTATATTTCTAGATACAATATGTAGAGAAGAATCACATTTTTGGAGACACAAACCAGTTTCAGGGAGGAGTTTCTTCAGGAGTTTGCTCCAAATGGCATGGCTGTTTCCCTGATATGATTTAATCAGATTTACCTTATTCCATTTTCATCTTCTTTGATGTGTTTTGATCTGATTCCCTCTGGTTTGAACTAGCTCCCATCTGACCTGGCTCCATCTAAATCAGTATAGATTCATCCATTTCGGACTGGTTCTGTGTGGGCTGTGTTTTTCTTTTAAAAAAAAAGATTGATAATTTTTGTGAATGGTTTAGTGTGTTTTGATTTGGTCTTAGCTACTTAGTCCAACTAGGTTTTGTTTTTATTTTTCTCTGGTCATACTGTTTTCTCTCCCACTGTTAATACATATAACTGATTCAGAGGAAAATGTTAAAAATGACCTGGTTCATAGCCAAGTGTGGTGGCAGGCACCTGTAATCCCAGCTACTCAGGAGGCTGAGGCAGGAGATTCACTTGAACCCAGGAGGTGGAGGTTGCAGTGAGCCGAGATCATGTCATTGCACTCCAGCCTGGGGAACAAGCGCAAAACTCCATCTCAAACAAACAAACAAACAAACAAACAAACAAAAAACCCATAAAACAACAAACAAACAAATGACCTAGTTCAAATGAATCTTGATATTGAAAACCTGGATCCCAATTGCATTCCTTGAAATTGTTTGCTTTGTCTTGCTTGACACCATAATGTTCCACAGTTTTCAGCCTCTTACGTCTCTCTTTTGGGCTATTCTCTTTCTTCTTTTTCTTTTCTTCGGACTGCAGGGGTCCACAGGAGTTAGTGTCACATACTCCTTTTCCGTGTTTATATTTACACCCTTTAACAATTTGTGAACTTTAACGATTTTCCCCATCACATATTATAATGAACCCATTATCTACCGCTGTCTCACCTGTGCTTCATCCCCGTATTTCTCCTTGCCTGCAACCACAAGTTTATTCTTCAAGTTATAAAAACTTGAGAGCATACCATTTTTCCTCCTAAACCAGTCTCTTTCTCTTTCTTTCTTTCTTTTCTCTTTCTCCTTTCCCCTTTTTTCCCTTTTTCCCCTTTCCCTTTTCCTTTTCTTTCCTTATTTTATTTTATTTTATTTTATTTCTTTTTTTTCAGGCAGAGTTTTGCCACGTTGCCCAGGCTGGTCTCAAACTCCTAGGCTTAAGCAATCCACCCACCCTGGCCTCCCAGAGTGCTGGGATTACGGGTGTGAGCCATGTTGCTCAGCCCAAATCTGTTTTTCTCTCTTTCTTCACATATTCATGTTAATGTCTTTTCTTCAAGGGCATTGTTAGAAATAAATGGGCCAGTTCTTTCTGAAATAATCTTTAAAGCCTTCACAGGGGAGATAATTTAATAAGCTTAGACCAGATAATACTGTGATAACCCCAATACTTATAATAGCCAATGTTCATTTCTCACTTACATTACCTCTTGGTTACTTCAGGTGTGGTTCAACTCTCTTGGTTCTGGGATCCAAGCAAAAGGAGCAGTTTCTGTCTGGATCGTGGGGTTCTCAAGGTATAGGGCAAAAGAGCAATGATGGGACCACATCGTGGCTCTTAAAACTTGTTTGAAAGTGCACTGACTTTCCGCTAACCTTCATTGACCAAAGCAAATCCCACAGTTAAGTCTGATGTCACTGTGGTGGGAAAGATAATCCTTCTTCAGAGATGGGCTCAGTGGGGAGGAACGGCAGATATTGTGACCAAAATACCGTTTGCTGCAAGAGGGTAGCTTAGGCTGAATCTTAGAAATAAGTGTTCGTGGTCGGGCGCGGTGGCTAAAGCCTGTAATCCCAGCACTTTGGGAGTCCGAGACGGGCGGATCACAAGGTCAGGAGATCGAGACCATCCTGGCTAACACGGTGAAACCCCGTCTCTACTAAAAAATACAAAAAACTAGCCCGGCGAGGTGGCGGGCGCCTGTAGTCCCAGCTACTTGGGAGGCTGAGGCAGGAGAATGGCGTGAACCCGGGAGGCGGAGCTTGCAGTGAGCTGAGATCGCACCACTGCACTCCAGCCTGGGCGACAGCGAGACTCCATCTCAAAAAAAAAAAAAAAGAAAAAAAAAAAGAAATAAGTGTTTGTAGGGCTGATAGGTCAAGGAGGAACACGAATTACCTAGACTTAATAGTTACTAACACATTGCCCGCTTGCATTATCATTCACTTCTCCCTTTCTGGCCAAATTATTTCAAAGTTAATTCTAAATATCATGACACCCTTAAATATGCCACATTTCTCTAAAAAGTGAAAATGGATTCTTACATAACCACAATACCATTACTACATTCAACAAAGTTAATGGTATCATCTAATACCAAATCTGTGTTAAAATTTCTTTGATTAAAAGAAATTATATATATTTTGAGACAGGGTCTCACGTCTGTCATCTAGGCTGGAGTACAGTGGCATGATCATAGCTCACTGCAGCCTCAACTTCCTGGGCTTAGGTGATTCTCCCACCTCAACCTTCCTAGTATCTGGGACTACAGGTGCATGCCACAATGCCAGCTAATTGTTTGTATTTTTAGTAGAGACAGGGTTTTGCCATGTTGCCCAGGCTGGTCTTGAGCTCCTGGTCTAAAGTGATCCACCTGCATGGGCGTCCCAAAGTGCTGGGATTACAGGTGTGAGCCACAATGCCTGACCTCAAAAAATATTTTTATAGATTAAAATCAGGTTGTCAGTTATCCCTAAGGTAATTCAAAAAGTTAACATGTCCCAATAAAAAAGTGAAATTCTTTTGCAAAATTCACATGGAAAAATAAAGGTGGAAAAATAGCCAAGAATACACTGAAAAATAAAAGCCATAACAGGGTACTATCCTTATCAGACACTAACGTATGCTACAAAACCTTTAGAATTAAAATGTGTCCTTTGAGTTGAAGCTGCAAGCAGAAAATAAAGAAAGAAAACATTGTGGTGCTGGCCCATGACTAGACAAATAGACCAGTGGAATCAGGGAGCAAGTCAGCAAGTCAACCCAAGTACTTATGGAACTTTGGTATGTGATGAAGGTGGCATCTCAAATCCCTGGAGTAAAGATGGACGTTTTAATAAATGGGGTTGGGCAACTAGATATCCATCTGGAAAAATATAACATTGGACCATATACCACACACCATATACAAGAAAAATCCCAAATGACTAGATCTAAATGTAAAAAATTAAACCGTAAACATACTAGGATAGAATGGGGGTAAATATTCTATCACCTGGACATAGTAAAAGGTTTTCTAAATCTGACTAAAAACCTAGATGCCTAGAGGAGAAGAGTGATAAGTTTGACACTGTAAGCAAAGTCAAAAGAAAGGACAAATTTCCAGGAAATATTTGCCACATACAGTATATCACATATAAAGAGTTATTTTCCATAATATAGAATGAATCTTAAAATTCAAAGAGAAGAACCCTAAAACCAGATAGGAAGAAAATAGGCAAAATACCTGAATAGACAATTCACAAAATAAAATATAACATTGTCCCTTAAATGTTTGAAAAGGTGTTCAATTTCACTTCTAATTAGATTAATGCAAATTAAAACTACACACCATTCTTATCATTGGCAGCATTTCAAAAGGTTGACAGAACACTTGGCGGAGCTGAGGGATATAGGCAACATTATACACTGCAGATGGCAATGCAGAAATGCTACAGCTATTGTGAAGGGAAATTTGGCAACATGTAACAAAACTATGTATGCATATGCTTTGACCTGGCAATCCTGCCTATAGGAATTTACCCTGAAGATTCATCTCCAAAGATAGTACACTTGCACAAGGTTATTCATTATAGCATTGTTTCTTTATAAAATATTAGAGTAACCTAATTGCCCTTATGTAGTAAATTGGTTGAAGAAGTTATGATACATCCTTCCAAAATGCGGAAGAGCTCCTCTGAACTGATAGGGAGTAAATTCTAGGATATATTAAGTGAAAAGAGCCAAGTGCAAAGAGTATTTTTAAAAGTGAGAAATTATGAGCATATGCATATCTATTTCTTCTTCTTCCCCCCCCGCCCCCCCACAAAGTAATACAGGGTTAATAAACCAGAAACTAATGAGATTGGTTAGCTGTGAGGTTATATTGGAATTTGGCTGGAAGGCTATGGAAAGGAGAAGCATGTCCTTTCTGAATAGTTTTGCACTTTTGGAGCATATTGGTGTTTAAATACTCAAAGAAAGGAATTAAATCAACAAAGAGAGGGAAAATCCCTAAAATGGAATACCAAGAGAAACAAATCTACCTAACTGTTCCAAAATAATAACACAACCACAGGTAACAGGGGAAAACAACCCATTTAACAGAGAGCTTTGCCCATACTCCATAGGAAAATGAGGATTGGCAAACTAGGGCCTACAGGCCAAATCTGTCTCACTGCCTGTTTTTGTAAATAAAGTTTTTTTGGAACAATGAATTATTTATGGCTGCGTTTGTTATACAATGGCAGAGTTAAGCAGTCATGATAGAGACCATGTCACCTACAAAGCCTAAAATATTTACTCTTTGGTTCTTTTCAGAAAAAATTGGCCAACTCCTTCTCTATTGACAAAGAAGAACTGCATACAAATCTTGAACTATATGGACTATATTTTGTATATTGTGTTTTGTAAGGATGTGGGTCAACAATTCTGAAACTATATTCCTTGCATTTTTTTTTTTTTTTTTTTTAAGACAGAATTTCGCTTTTGTTGCCCAGGCTAGAGTGCAATGGTGCGATCTCGGCTCACCACAACCTCTGCCTCCTGGGTTCAAGAGATTCTCCTGCCTCAGCCTCCCAAGTAGCTGGGATTACAGGCATATGCCACCACACCTGGCTAATTTTGTATCTTTAGTAGAGATGGGGTTTCTCCATGTTGGTCAGGCTGTTCTGGAACTCCCGACCTCAGGTGATCTGCCTGCCTCAGCCTCCCAAACTGCTGGGATTACAGGCGTGAGCCACTGCACCTGGCCTTATTCCTTGCATTTTAAGATTAAGCAAATGAGTAAATATATTGATGATGCAAGCCAGATCTCTCAACTATATAGTTCTTTAGAAATACATACTGAATTATTGGCCGGGTGCGGTGGCTCACACCTGTAATCCCAGCACTTTGGGAGGCCGAGGCGGGTAGATCACGAGGTCAGGAGATCGAGACCATCCTGGCTAACACGGTGAAACCGTGTCTCTACTAAAAATACAAAAAATTAGCCGGACGTGGTGGTGGGCGCCTGTAGTCCCAGCTACTCAGGAGGCTGAGGCAGGAGAATGGTGTGAACCTGAGAGGCAGAGCTTGCAGTGAGCTGAGATCGCGCCACTGCCCTCCAGACTGGGAGAGAGAGCGAGACTCCGTCTCAAAAAAAAAAAAAAAAAAAGATATATATACTGAATTAATATACAGCAAAGGGGCATGATAGAAAACAGAGTTCCTCAAAATGGCCTCAGTAAATCTAAATTAGTGAAATGATGACACTTTGCTAGTAAGGCGTAGGGATTAGAATCATAATGAGTATACACGGGGTCCCTTTAACAGGGTGTTAAGTGTAAGGAGCTTTTGGTTCCAGTGTTTAACACAAAATAGACACAAATGAGATTTCCTCTACTGAAATACTTCTCAGTGATGTGGGGTGTTACGTCACTGCCATATATATATTCACACTGTAGTCTGAATGACCTGGTATGCTTCTAGATAAGCCAAAAAGATGGCAGCGAATCACAGTCAAAATATCAAGACAAAAAGTTCATGTCACAGAATACCAGAATGACCACAAGTCTTATAAGAGATGACTGGCCAGAAATAGAAGCAAATAATGAGTTACTTTGAGAACCCAAGTAAACCAAATAAACCCAGGGAGTGCTCAGTGACAGCAAGCAGAGCCTGATGGCTGCTGAGAGCCTCACCCATGGCAAGGCTGCCAGAAGCAGCTTTGAGCATCTATGGAGCAGTCTACACACAGCTATGTTCCTCTGGCAGTCCAGCAGTTCCAGCACTGGTGAGTGCCCTGTCAAAGCAACCAAAGGGAAAACACATTGTCAAAAACTAAAAGACCACAAAAGGTCAAAAAATCAAATGGCACAAATCATTTGCTTAACAGGCAAGGAGACACAGCAGTGAAGAAATTCACTGTATAGTTTGGTGAAGGGGAAAAAATAAAAGGTTTTTACTCTTAGGGAGCAGTTTCATGATGGTTATGCTAAATAAGGTTTGAAAACTAGCATTCTGGATAGGATAGGATGAGTTTTTAGGGACAGACACAGTTGATTATAAAGATTCCAGTGTTCCTTAGTTAGGCAGAAGTCTTCAATTAGGCCCAGTAGGGTCTGGGGCCAAGTACGTGGTCATTTCTCAGCATCAATTGGATAGATCCTGTTGTGATGAAATGCAACATCTGGTTTTGATATTTTGTAGGCAGGTGCTGCTGTAAATGAAAAGTTTTTCTTTTTACTGATTTATGGAAAGTGGAAAGAAAGGCAGATTTTGTTGTTTTGGCTTGGTGCCAGAATCCTAAAATCATAGACTGTGTCTTTCTTGTTCATTGTTGAATTCATAACACTTAGTAGAGAACCTAATACTTTGACATTTTCTAATAAGTCTTTGTTTACAGGTGGGCAGCCTGAAATTTATATTTGTTTTATATACAATAATTTCTTTAACCAGTATTCCATACACTTTCTCCTACATTCGGAAGCCCACCAGACTGAGGGACTTTTTATGTCTATGAGACCCTTTTTTACATAATAAGAAAAGTCATAAGGGGATTTCCACATGTGTCATAGAGACCACTATCTCCAAGCAGAACAAAGAGTTGTGGACAGTATATACCAATGTGAATGTCTGTGGCTTAGGAGAAGGCTAACTATAATTGAAGTTGTTTACAGAGCAGAATACTCACTTGAGAGGTTCCTGGTTTCTCAAGATATTTTTGGTGTGGATTTTCTGGATCTCAATAGAAAATGTGATGGAATGTAAAGGAATCATTGCTCAGAAGCAAATTGTGTTGTACTTATATTATCAATTACAGGTATGGCAGTAAAACATTCTCTGTCCTAAGACAAGGCAGAACAACTCAGCAGCCCTACTTATGGCTATTCTAACTGAAAACTTTCATTCTTCAGCAGAACCAAAGCCAGAAATCTACCCTTGTTCCTCCTGCCTTCTGGCCTTCTCCTGTCAGCAATTCCTCAGCCAGCATGTACTTCAGATCTTCCTGGGCTTATGTGCAGAAAATCACTTCCATCCAGGGAATTCTAGCCCAAGGCATTGGAAACAGCAGAGGCAGCAGTATTCCCATCTAAGCTGTTGGTATGAAAATGCAGAAGGTCAGGAGAGAGGAGGTGGCTCCAAACCCTGGTCTCCAAGGACAGAGGAGAGAGAAACCTCAAGGGCATTCCCCAGCCCACTCCAAAGACAGTCAGCAAGTCCTAGAAAAGGCAACATGGTGGTAGAAGTAGAGCCTAGCTCAGCCCAAAGACCAAACCCTGTGCAGCCAGACAAAGGCTTGAAGGAATCAGAAACCTTGAGATTTGGAGCAATCAACTGTAGAGAGTGTGAACCGGACCGTAGCCTGGAATCAAACTTTATTACAAACCCGAGAACCCTCTTAGGGAAGAAGCCCTACATTTGCAGTGATTGTGGGCGAAGCTTTAAAGATAGATCAGCCCTCATCAGACACCATCGTACACACTCGATGGAGAAGCCTTATGTGTGCAGTGAGTGCGGGCGAGGTTTTAGCCAGAAGTCCAACCTCAGCAGACACCAGAGAACACATTCAGAAGAGAAGCCTTACTTGTGCAGGGAATGTGGGCAAAGCTTTAGAAATAATTCCATCCTCAAGAGACATCAGTGGACTCACTCAGAAGAGAAGCCCTATGTTTGCAGCGACTGTGGGCGAGGCTTTAGTGAGAAGTCATCCTTCATCAGACACCAGAGGACACACTCCGGTGAGAAACCCTATGTGTGCCTGGAGTGTGGACGAGGCTTTTGTGACAAGTCAACCCTCAGAAAACACCAGAGGATACACTCAGGGGAGAAGCCTTTTGTTTGCAGGGAGTGTGGACGAGGCTTTAGCCAGAACTCAGATCTCATCAAACACCAGAGGACACACTTGGATGAGAAGCCTTATGTTTGCAGGGAGTGTGGGAGAGGCTTTTGCGACAAGTCAACCCTCATCATACATGAGCGGACGCACTCTGGAGAGAAGCCTTATGTGTGTGGTGAGTGTGGCCGAGGCTTTAGTCGGACATCACTCCTCCTTGTCCACCAGAGGACACACTCAGGGGAGAAGCATTATGTCTGCAGGGAGTGTAGGAGAGGTTTTAGCCAGAAGTCAAATCTCATCAGACATCAGAGGACACACTCAAATGAGAAGCCTTATATTTGCAGGGAATGTGGGCGAGGCTTTTGTGACAAGTCAACCCTCATTGTACATGAGAGGACACACTCAGGAGAGAAGCCTTACGTGTGCAGTGAGTGTGGCCGAGGCTTTAGCCGGAAATCACTCCTCCTTGTCCACCAGAGGATACACTCAGGGGAGAAGCATTATGTTTGTAGGGAGTGTGGGCGAGGCTTTAGTCATAAGTCAAATCTCGTCAGACACCAGAGGACACACTGACGGGAGAAACCTGTGTATGCAGGGGTCGTGAACAAGACCTGAGTCATCAGTCAAGCCTCATGTTACCCCAGAGACACACATGGGAAGTAGACCCTGTGTATGCAGATTGTGAGTGAAGTTCCAGAGATGTGTCGACCTTTATCAGGCATGGGAGGGACACGTTCAGGAGAGGAGCCTTATGAGTATACAGTATGGGCAACTGTAGCCATCAGTCAGCCTTCAGCATGCACAAGAAGACACACTTAGGAGAGAAGTTTATGTGTAGGGACTGTGGGAAGGCTTTAGCAATAATCAAACGTTTACCAAACATCCAATGACCGCCTCAGGGGAGGGCACCCTTGTCTGGGGGGTGTTGGTGAGCATCAGCAAAAGAATGGACAGTCAGGCACAAGGTGGCCCTCCGGAAGGAGGTCTTTGTTTGCAGGATGTATGGGCAAAGCTTTTGTGATCACACACCACAGGGAGACTCTGCATGTGGGGACACTGTGGAGCTCTGCCCAGATGACCTTTTCATGGCTAACACCCCGGCTGCTTGAGAGAACAGCGTTGCTGCTGGCAGTGATGCATTCCACTCCGGAACTCGCTCTCAGCCACAGGGAACTGCACACACCACAGGGGCTATGCCTCTTTGCAGGGATAGCTTCTGGCCCCAACCCTTGACTCAATGCGGACAATTCCAGAAGGTCATTCCAGATCCAGAGATCCCCATCAAACTGAAGGATCACTGGGTTGCAGACACGTTGCACATCAGCTCTTCCTCTGCCCAGTCCTGCCCTCACTCCCCAATGAATCCTCAATTTTCCATCTCATTGTCTCTCCAGAGAATTGATTCTAAGACACATTAGGTATATAAGGGGTGTAGATAAGGCTTCAGCCACAAGTCACCCCTCAATAAGCCCCAGAGTATATAGAATAGAAATTCTGCACATGTCGGGAGAATGGACAAGGACTTAGTAAAAAGGCACACCTCAGCAAAGAACAGCTTTTTTGGGACAAGCTTTACATGGGTGGGGAGGGAAAATGTGAAACACATTAGCAATAAGTTCAACCTCATCTTGTACTAAAGGAGGACACACTCAGGGAGAAGACCTGTGTGTGCAGGGCTTGTGGGTGGAGCTTCATCCCGATGTCCCTCCTCAACTGACTTAGGAAGACAGAGTCTTTACCCCAAGTCACTACCTCACTCACCTCTGAGGGGTTTCCAGGAGATGTCTTGACTCCCCCATGTACTCTGAATGTGAGCGAAGATGGCAGTAACTGTTAAATAAGCATTCTTTTCTACTTCTTGGAATCGGAATAAAAAAGTAGGCTTTATTTAAGTAATCAAAAAATGATCAACTCGTTTTATTTTCATATACCAGTTCTTTCCCATGTTTTCTTATCCCTTTGTTTTAGTTCAAAATTTCTTTAGTAAGTTCAGGCTGTGTGGCTTGGCCACTCAGCTGACCGGAAAGGTGCAAGGAATTCAAATTCACAGTCAGGGTTTCCTGCATGAATTCAACCCTTGAGAATCAATCTAATAGATTTTTTGGAGAATCTGATCCTTTTCATGTGGAGGAGTGATTAGGTTCTAGAGACAGGCCAGTTGCAGGGAGGGGATTTTCCAGGTCTCCAGGGGCTGGGTTGCCTCTTTTCCAGACTGGTCACTTTCTTCAGCTTCTGTGAAAGCTTCCTTCCCTAGGTATTCTCTTTCTCTCTTTGTGTCTTTCTCTTTCTCTCCCCACCTCGCCCTCTCTCTTTTTCTTTCTTTCTGCAGGTGTCTTTGCTGAATACTTCTCTACTCCACTGAAGTTTTGCAGTCCTTAATGATCTGCTCAGTCCTCCAGTTCTAGGGACCCTTTAACCACATCCCCCCGGCAGCCTTCTAGATTGCAGGGGCAGGTCCTTTAACCATGCCCACACTGTTCTCGAGTCATGAGTCATTGCTTTGGGCCTCTTAGCTACTCCCCATGTCAGATCAACAATAATAGATGTAAAGACTCCTAAACATAGCTCCGATACCATGTCCCCTTGGCCCTCTAATTCTAGGGCCCAGTCCTGCTAATGATACCCACACATCATCCCTCTAATAACTGGTCTGAGACAACCTAGTCATACTCCGTCCATTGTTTTTCAGGCCAAGGATCTTTTACCCACACCCTTTTTTAATCTTCCTCCCTCAGAGCCCAAATTGCCCAGACTTTTGAATAAACTTCGCATGCTCTGGCTCTGATTCTCTGTCTTGGGTCAATAACTATTCACTGGAGAGGGTCTTCCTAGGCTCTAGCAAATTTGTTTGCCCAACTGGAGTTTGCAAGATCCATAAAATGCATATCAGGCTTGGAAAATCAGAAGCAGCACGAAGTGTTTTGGACACCTCATTCAAGGAGAGGATAAAAAAAGAAAGAATTACTGGCTCCAAGGCCTCTCCCCACTTGCCTGCCCCAGGCATGAGGTTAGTGGTCTTAATCTGTTTTCTGCTATTATAACAGAATGTCACAGACTGAGTGATTTATAATGTACACAAATTTATTTGGTTCGTGGTTCTAGAGGCTGGGAAGTCCAAGAGCATGGTGCCAGCATCCAGTGGGGGCCTTTATGCTGCATCATCCCATGGTGAAGACAGTAGAGCAAGCGAGTATGTGAGACAGAGAGAAAAAGGGGGCTGGAATTACCCTTTTTATCAGGAACCTACTCCAAGATAACTAATCCACTCTTGTGATATTGGTATTAATCTATTTGTGAGGGCTGAGCCCTCATAACCTAAACACCTCTTAAAGGTCCCATCCACAAATCTCATCATAATGGCAATTGAATTTCAACATGAATTTTGGAGGAGACATTCACACCAGAGCATCAATTTTCCAATGGCTCCTTAGAGTCAGGTCTGATGGGGGAAAAGGATGTGCATGTCTGGGAGTGTGGGCCCCCACCCTTTGCCAGAACTACCCCTATAACACCAACTTCTGATCAGAATTGGAGGCCACTGAGGGAAAAGTATATGCAGGTATATAGTCTCTAGGATTTTGAAGAATGAAGGGTAGGCCCTCCCAATTCCAGACAATCCCAACATTCCTCCTACCGCTGGGAAAGAAAAAACAAACAAGAAAACCAGCTCTTACCTTTGAAAAAAGGAGTGGAAAGAAAAAAAATGATGCAGAATTATTATTGATTTTTACTGAAATCCCCCATAACCTGTAGCGACCTCAGACATGGCCCAGGGAAAGGACTGCCCCCCCAGCCCAGCAAAGGGAGAGGGGCAAAGATGTCATCTTTCCAGCCCTGGAAGCGGCTTCCCCAGGGTATGCTCACTCCCCTCCTTTGTTTCTAGGAAGGGTCACTATCAGGACCTTTCTACTCCATCCCAGCAGGAAACGGAATTGAAATGTACTAGAGTTTCTCTCAGATGAAAGAGAGGTGCAGATTCTCCACTCTAGGACTATGGCTTTGGTGCCTAAGAAGGAAGAGTTCAGTCTTTATGTATCAGCTTATTTCCAACATGAGATGGGTGTTCAAATGCCTGCAGCATCCAAACAAGTCCTACTAATGAGGGGACCAAGCCCAGATTGGGTGGGGTGGGGGGTACTTTAGAGAACTGGGGGACTCAAACTAAAGTCAAATTGCTACCTGCATCCTTCCTGGCCTCACCATTTAAGCCTCACTCCAAGAAGTCTTGAGGTGCACCTCTTTTTGGCCTTTTAATTTAGCTATCCAAATGTCCTACCCATTTCTTCAAACCATGATCTTGAGTTCAGAACCCACCATCATTCTTCCTCACTTTTAGTTTTAGAATTTTTTTTTTCATATTGATTTTTGCTGAGTTTTCTGGAAAATTGGTAGTGGATTGCCAGGCATGGTAGCTCATGCCTGTAATCGCAGCATTTTGGGAGGCCATTATGGGAGGATCACTTGAGCCCAGGAGTTTGAGACCAGCCTGGACAAAATAGTCAGACCTTGTCTCTTTGCCGGAAAAAAAAAAGATCAATTTTAGTTTGGAAACATTTGACCCAGTAATCGCAATGAGCAGAAACAATGAAATCTGATCAAAAAACTTACAGAAATATGACTACCTGGAATAGTCATAAGGTGGTACCTTGTGTGATGAGTCTACAGAAAGGATTTGGGTTGAAGGGACTTTCAAGATGGCAGACAATCTGACAGCACCCAGCTGTGAAATTAGGTAAAGTAATTCAGATTAAAGGTGAAATAATGTATACATGCAATCTAACCTAATTTCAAAATATCTGTGCATATATTTCTCATATATCCAAAGTAGGCTGGCCAGGCGTGGTGGCTCATACCTGGTGCTGGGCTCAAATCCAAAACTCCCAAAGTGCTGGGCTCAATCCCAGCACTTTGGGAGGCCGAAGCAGGTGGATCACCTGAGGTCAGGCATTCAAGACCAGCCTGGCCAACATGGTGGAACCCTGTCTCTACTAAAAATACAAAAATTAGCCAGGTGTGGTGGCACATGCCTGTAATCCCAGCTACTTGGGAGGCTGAGGCAGGAGAATTGCTTGAACCTGGGAGGTGGAGGTTGAAGTGAGCCGAGATCATGCCATTGCACTGCAGCCTGGGCGACAGAGTGAGACTCCATTTCAAACAAAAACAGAGTAAGCACATATAATTTTTAAAATCATTTTTTCTAAAAGAGAGCAAGTGGTAGAGGATTCTTGACACACATGAGATTCTCTCATTGCATAATCTTTTTCCATGAGTAAATATCATGTTATGCTTTTTTATTTTCTCTAATATGCATGAAATGTGTAAGGGATAAAATCTACATTCTCATTGTGGAAAGATTATTTTTATCTAGCCCCATATCTTACTCATTAATTTTAACCTAGAAATCATTTTGGAGAATAGCCAAACAGTCAGCTGCTCTTTGATTAAAGAGAAATTTGGGACTGGTTGAAGCATGACGTTCTATAATCCTAAAAAAAAATAAAAATAAAAAATAGCGAAACAAGATTCCTAGAGTTCTACCTAACTAGTGTTCTTAAAGGGTAAAAGCATTCCTTCTGTGAGTTATGGGGCAATAGTTGACGACTAGAAAAATCTCACAAAGCCAGGTTACACATGACGATAGGTGATGCTCTTATCTGCTACTGATGCAGACCCCAAGGCCGAGTCCAGCTTCCCCAGCTCGGCCCGCTCTCAGGCAGAGCAGTTGGCTCAGCAGCGCCCTTGCTGCTGCCAGCCATCAGTTCTTACCTTTTCCCTGCTTTCCAATTCCTTTGGGAACTAGAAAGCGATTTTTTGGCAGGGAGAAAGAGAGCTGAGTTTTGTCAATTTTAATGCTACTTAAAATTGTTTTTGTCTTAGCTTCCTCTCTTCTGTGTCTGTTCTAGTAACCTGAAACCTAGGTTAAAGAAGAAGGGCCTGTACCTTCTCCTAAGTCACGGCCACTAAAAGAGCTTATTTGTCTTTTTTTTTTTTTTTAATAGAGACAAGTTTTTACTATGTTACCCAGGTGGTCGTGGTCTTGAACTCCTGGGCTCAAGCAGTTCTCCCACCTTGGCCTTTTAAAGTGTTAGGATTATAGGCATGAGCCATTGTATCTGATCACCTGTCTTGAGAGAAAGGCTCAACCTGTAAAAATCTTAGGGTAAATAAATTGTGCAGTATTGGAGGTACACTTGACATAGCTAGTAAGAATATGAAAACATTTCCAATCAGATTTTCTGCTGAATATATTGGCAAAGGAATTTCATATGGGGTTGGAGATCTGGAAGAGATATTGCAGAGAATCCGAGAGGAAACTTAAGAGAATGAAAGGAAGTGTGATAAACAGCACTGAGACCAGTATAAATTTGGGAAGCCAGAAGTATTGCAGTTGTCCAGGCAAAATTTATAACAAGCTATGGCAATAGCAGAGTGGACTGAAAGAGAAGATAGACTTCATAGGGTTTGTCTCCAAAGCACTTGGTGATTGCCTGAATGTAGAAGACAGGTGAGAATGTAAAAGAAGACTCCCACAAACACAGCTTTCGAACAGTAGACACATTTGCAAAAGAGAAAAAGTTCTCACCACTCCAGGAATCCAAGCAGAAAGTCAACACCCCTCCTATCTGTGTTTACCATAAGAATAGTTTCTTCTCTAGAGGGTAAGTCAAACTGGGTCTCCTCTTTTTCCCATCTGCGTCCAGGATTATGCCTCTGTATGTGGTAGAGTGTGTCTGTGTGTGTATGTGGAATTGTGCCAATTATCCATTTATTGTTTGAGCTTCAAATTCTCGTTTTGTTGCCTGGTCTGTGAAAATGGATCTGGGCTCTTTATGTGTTTCCTTTGCCAGCTGGCATAAGGTTTATCAGTAGAGGGCACCAGAACAACACTGCAGGGGGAAGGGCCCTCTTTCTTGGGTTAGGTGGCTCTTTCACCAGGTCCCTGGAGAGTACCTGTTTTATTCTTTTCTTTTCTTTTTTTTTTAAGACAGAGTTTTGCTCTTGTTGCCCAGGCTAGAGTGCAATGGCGCGATCTCAGCTCACTGCAACCTCTGCGAAAGTACCCATTTTTACTCCACTCCAGGGCCAGTGACGTTTTCTCCCATGCTAAATGCCTGCAGGACACAGCTTTTTCTACCAATTGGCCACCAAAGGAGTACGTTTTCTACAGCTCTCCACTTAGGCACTGGTGGCTCAGTTGGGAGCCGAAACAGCACAGGCCTGTGCCCCAGCCCAGGCCACTGCTATACCCTCTCTGTAGTCCCACTGGTACATATGCTGGGGGCCCCACAGGACTGGCTGTCTAGCAAGCAGACCACCTGACCTCCTCCTGTGCAGAGGCTCGAGCCTCCCCAGCCCACACTGACCCTCTCCCCAGCTCTAGTGCATGCACACCAGGGCCCCAGTAGCCACCACTGGCTGTCCCAGCCCAAGCTGTGCACAGAAGTGTACTAGGTTCTTGCAGCTCTCCAGCCTCCATTTCCAGCAGTGCCCACAGCAGTGCCTTGGCCACCTCTGCTCATCCACCCGTTAACCTTGGCTCCTGTTGTTTCCTTAGGCCTTCCCCACACAGACACCATGTGATCCAAGCCTTGTATCAACATCAACACCCCAGCTCTCTCTGTATTCCCAATTTCCTCTGTGTACTATTTGCCAGCTTTGGCTTGCTTGATCCCCAGAGGGTTATTCCTGCTTGCCTAGTGGCTGTGGACAAACTCTGGCCTGCACAACCTTCCCCCTCAAACTTTTCTGCTATCCAATAGGCTGCAACCACAACTCCAAGAAGGACTGAACCCTAGCCTTGGGGAGGGAACCCTCTTTCCAAGTTTATCCTTGGGTAATCCCCCTCAGCTGTAGGATTTTCTTTTCATATTTATATTTATGTTTGCGCTCTCTCTCTCTCTCTCTCTCTCTCTCTATATATATATATTTGGGATGGAGGCTTGCTGTGTTGCCCAGGCCAGAGTGCAATGGCGTGATCTCTGCTCACTTCAACCTCCACCTCCCCAGTTCAAGCAATTCTCCCTGCCTCAGCCTCCCAAGTAGCTGGGATTATAGGCACCCACTACCACACCCAGCTAATTTTGTATTTTTAGTAGAGATGGGGTTTCACCATGTTGCCAGGCTGGTCTCCAACTCCTGACCTCAGCCTCCCAAAGTGCTGGGATTACAGGCATGAGCCACCATCCCCAGCAAAATAATTCTTTAATTTAAATTACTGTATGGTTTCTGTCTCCTTGTCGAACCCAGATTGATACAGGTGTGAAAGTATATGTGTGTGTTTTTAAAATGAGGGCAAAGACATGAATTTTGACTGCATATATTTAGTAAGCCCAGAGATAAGCCAAAGAAATAATACAAGTCAAAACTATTAATTATGAATACTCAGCTGGGGCTGTGATCCTGAATCTAGACACAGAAATCTGATGGTCTACATCAGAGGTTGGCGAACTACAGCCTAAACACCAATCCTTGCTGATCACATGTTTCTGTGTGGCCTTGAGCTAAGAATGGTCTTTACATTTTAAATGGTTGCAAAGAATTTAAAGGATAATATTTTGTGACATCTATTTGTATCCATAAATAAAATTTTGTTGTAACCCAACCACAGTCATTTGCTAGGTATTGTCTATAGCTGCTTCCATGCTACATGGTAAAGCTAAGTAATTGCAACAGAGACCAAATGGCTCGCCAACCCTAAAATGCTCTCTGGCCCTTAACAAAAAATGTATTGGAAACTAACCAGTATTATACATATTTAAAAAAAGTTGGCCCGCCCCGATCTAGACTGAAACTTGGGACCATTTTATCAAGTAAAGACCAAATGAATTGCCTGTTTAATCCCCGGCTCTGAATTCATGACCTCTTTTCTCTTATTTGTAGACTGGCAAACTAATTGAGTTGCAAGGCATCTAGAATAGCCAAAACAACCTTGAAAAAGAAAAGGGAGGAGGATTCACACTTTCTGACTTCAAAACTTACTATAAAGCAAATGGCAATCAGGATAGTATAGTGCTGGCATAAGGATAGCCATATAGATCAAAGGAATAGAATTGGAAGTCCAGAAATAAAACCATGTGTCAGTGGTCAATGATTTTCCCCTAGGGTGCCAAGATTATTCAGTGGGGGAAAGAAGAGTCTTTCTAACAAATGATGCAGCGACAACTGTTTATCTACTTACAAAAGAATACAGTTTGACCCCACCTTATACCATATATAAAATATGAACTAAAAATGTATCAAAAATCTAAATGTAAGAGCTAAAACTATAAAACTATTAGAAGAAAACAAAGGGGTAAATCTTCATGATCTTAGATTTGCCAAAAGAGATTTTTCATATTGCACCAAAAACATGAGCAGCAACAGCCATGAAAAGATAAATTAGACTTCATCCAAATTTAAAACTTTTGTACAGGATATTATCAAGAAAGTGAAAAGGCCAGGCATGGTAGCTCATGCCTGTAATCCCAGCAGTTTGGGAGGCTGAAGTGGGTGGATAGCTTGAACCCAGGAGTTCAAGACCAGCTTGGGCAACATGGCTAAACCCTGTCTCTATAAAAAAATACAAAAATTAGCCAGTGTGCTGGCATGTACCTGTAGTCCCAGCTACTCGGAAGGCTGAGGTGGGAGAATTGCTTGAGCACTGGAGGTCAGGCTGCAGTGAGCTGTGATCACACCACTGCACTCCAGCCTGGGTGATGGGGCGAGACTCTGTCTCAAAAAAAAAAAAAAAAAAAAAAAAACCCAGACAACTCACAGAATGGGAGTAAACCTGTATAAATCATATATCTGACAAGGAACTTGTATCTGTAATGTAGAAAGAATTCTTACAACTCAATAATAAAAGGCAAATGGTCCAAATTAAAAAACGAGTAAAGGATCTGAATGGGCATTTCTCCAAGGATGATATATAAATGGCCAACAAGCACATGAAAAGATGTTCAACATCATTAGTCATGAGGGAAATGCAAATCAAAACCACGATGAAATTGATAGCACTTCACATTCATTAAGATGGCTTGAATCAAAAAGTCAGATAATAACAAATATGGGTGAAGATTTGGAGAAATCAGAACCCTCATACGCCACTTGTGGGAATGTACAATGGTGAAGCCACTTTGGAAAACAGTCTGGCAGTTCCTCAAATGATTAATAAGAATTATCATATGACTCAGAAATTCCACTCCTAGCTAGATACCAAAGAGGAATTAAAACATGTCCACATGAAAACTTGTACATGAATGTTTACAGCAGCATTATTTATAAAAGCCAAAGGTGGAAACAATCCAAATGTTCATCATTTGATGAACTGAAAAACAAAATACGATAGTCCCCTCTTTATCTGAGGAGGTTATATTCCAAGATCCCCAGTGGATTCATGGAATGGCAGATACTACCAAACCCTATATATACAATTTTCTCCTATACATACATAGCTATGATAAACTTTATAAATTAGGTACAGTAAGAGATTGACAACAATACTAATAGAACCATTATAAAAATATACTGTATTAAAAGTTACATGAATGTGGTCTCAAAATATCTTGTACTCTACTCACCCATTTTTATACTGCAGTTGATTTTAGGTAACTGCAACCACAGAAAGTGAAAGATGGATATGGGGGGACTACTGTACATCCATACAATGGAATATTATTTGGCCATAAAAAGGAATGGAGTATTGATACGTGTCATGACATGGATGAACCTTAAAAACACTGTGCTTAGTGAAAGAAGGTAGTCACAAAAGACCACATATTATTATATGATTCCCTTTATATACATTTTCTAGAATGTCCTTCATAATATTCATCCCTTCTGATAGACCTGAGTGTAGGTTCAGGTCTCTGCTCACATACCACTCCTCAAAGAAGTTTTCCCTGACCACCTAGCCAAAATCGTATCCCATCCCTCTCAGTCCTCTGCCTTTATTTATTTTTTTCATATCACTCTAATGTTACATTGCATACTTATTTATTTGATTTACTATGTCTTTCTCACTAGAATGTAAAGCTCCATGAGGGAAAGGACTTTATCCCAATAAGGTGTATGGCCTTAGTAGATGCTAAATAAAAATTATTTTAAATGCATGCATGAATGATGTGTTAGGCAGCTGGGTGAGGTGGGGGCAAATGAACAGCTGAGGAGCCAGACAGACCTATATTCCCACTCTGACTCTGCCACCTTGGGCAATATAATTCATTTCTATGAGGCTTCACCTCTTCATCTACAGGTGACAGAAACCAGATAACAGAACATACCTTTTTGAGATGGTGTGAAAATGACAAAGCACCAAGGTGGAAGCTTTCCTTGCTGGGTTTGAGGAACAGCAAGGAGATTAGTGTGACTGGAGAATGATGAATGAGGGGAATGTTGAAGGAGATGAGTGAGGTTGGAGAGGAGTGCAGAGTTAGATTTTATTCCATGTGTGCTGGGAAGTTTTTGGTAAGTGGAGACCAGGGCATGACATCATCTGATATCCCAGTACGTTTAGAAGGATCCCTCTGGCTGCTGTGAGAACAAGAAAGGAAGCAAAGAGACAAGTTATGGGCTTGTTCAATGATCCAAGACAGAGATGATGGTGGCTATGACTAGAGTGGAAGCAATGGAGTGGGTGACAACAGTCATATTCACGATAATTTGAAGGTGGGGGCCACAGGATTTGCTGATGAATTTGATTATTCGATGGCAGAGAAAGGGAAGAATGAAATATGCTTCAAATTTGTCATTTTCTTTTTTTCCTTTTTTAATCCAAGAAACTTCGGCGATGAGGAACACTGGTGAAGTGGTTTTAGAAACAGTGAATAGAATCAAGAATTCAGTTTTCAACATGTTAAATTTGGTAGACCTATTAGACATTCACATCACGCTGGCAGCTGGATATAAAGGGCCAAGAGTTAAATGATGAGGCCAAGGTTAGAGGAACAAACTTGAAAACCCTGGGTGTATATGTTGTATTTAAAAGTCATAAGAAGGGCCCGGCGTGGTGGCTCACGCCTGTAATTCTAGCACTTTGGGAGGCCAAGGCGGGTGGATCACTTGAGGTCAGGAGTTCAGAGACCAGTCTGGCCAAGATGGCGAAACCCCGTCTCTACTAAAAATACAAAAATTAGCCGAGTGTGGTGGCACATGCCTGTATTCCCAGCTATTCGGGAGGCCGAGGCAGGAGAATCGCTTGAACCGGGGAGGCGGAGGTTGCAGTGAGCGGACATTGCGCCACTGCACTCCAGCCTTGGTAACAGACTGAGAGTCTGTCTCAAAAGAAAAAAAAAGTCATAGAAAAAAAAATGTCATATGACTGGATGCGATTATCAACAAATATGGGTAGAGCCCTTATTTTGTGCTACTAAAGTATTCTAGGCACTTCAGCAATGAGTAATACACAAAGAGAAAAATTCACACCCTTATGAATCTTACATTCTAATGGGGGAGGGGATAATAAAATAACAAAAATACACAGCGTGTGAGATAGCAAGAGGGAAATACAGGAGAGATGAGGATGAGGTGGGTGGGAAGGTTACAGGATGGCTAGGGAAATCCTCACTGGGAAAGTGTTATTTAAGCTTAAGTCTTGAAAGAGGTGAGGGCAGCAGCCTTTTGGTATACCTTGAGGACTAGCATTCCAGGCAGAGGCAAAAGCAAATGCAGAGGGGCTGAAAAGGAACACGTCCGGCCAGTGGAGGGAAAAGCAAGAATAGTGGCTGTAGAGGAGACAGCCGGGGAGGGTGATGGGGAAATGAGGACCGAGAGTGTAATGGGAAAGGTGGGGCGAAGAGAAATGAGTGTGACACAGAGCAGCCCTGAGTACGGATTTAAGCTAGGAAGGTGTCCAAACAGGAACTTAAGGCTCTCCTATTACTTCAAAGCGGGATGTTAACGCCCAGGCCCCAGGCCCCGCCCCTGCTCGGCACAAGCTCCGCTCTGGGGCCGGAACTCTAGAGCTCAGTGTCCGGACCGGAAGTAGATTTCCAGCCGACCGCATTTTAGGTGCTGCTGCATTTCCGGTAGCGGCGGCGGGAAATCGGCTGCGGGAGAGAGGCTAGGCCTCTGTGGAGGCGAATCCGGCGGGGATCAGAGCCATCAGAACCGCCACCATGGTGAGGAGGGCACAGGCTGGCGGCGCGGGAACTTCCGAGTCTGTTGTGGAGTGGGAACCACGACTGATCGGGGAGGAAGCCGTGGGTTAGAGCTACTTACGGCGGTGAAGGCCTGGGCCTTGGCCGCTCGGTCTGGGCGGGAAAGACCAGGACCTTGGCGGTTCGGCTAGGCATGGGGTCGAGGAAAAGGTTGGAACCGGGAACGGAGGCCGAGGTCGTTCGGCAGGGGCGAGGGTAGAACCGCGGCTCTCGACACTGCTGTAGCCATAATGCCTGGGACCCCGTAGGTACTAAGTTAACTTTTGCCGAATAAATATATGTCCCGGGCTTCGGAGCAGGCTCTGGAGCCGCAGGGGGACCCGGTAAACGGCTCAGACTTGTGAAAGGTTGTGAGTCTGAGAAAGAGTTACGGACGTGGGTGGAAGGAAGGGGCTTGTGGACCACGCTAGAGTCTTGCTAGGTCTACTTGATGGAGAGGAGGGAGGAGGAGGGGATAGGGAATGTTTGGAGGAAGAGTTCCACTCAGTTGTTCATCATGTTTCTGTGTTTGCCTGTGCCTGACTTCTCAGGCGCTGGGGCTGCTCTCTGAAATATGTTTGCTTCCTTCACAGAGGTAGTTGGGGACACATAATATAATTTTATGGTCATTCGGTAAAAGTAACGGCGGCGGGCGGGGTAAGAATGTTTTCTCAAATAGATGGTTCCTGAGCAGATTCCTAAAAGATTAGCAAGAATGTACCCGGCGAAAATGGGGGCAGTATTACAGACCCGGAGAACTGAAGGAACAAAGGCTGAAGAGTAGCAAGATTTAAAAAGTTACTGGATTTTTCTGCGTCTGTTGACTGAGAAAAAGTTGCTGGAGGAGGAAGAAAGAAAGAGTAGGGAAGACGGGAAGAATTGGCAGGAGGCTAGTTACTAAAGACCTTGCATGTTATTTTACCTTGGTGGTGGTGAGGCATGTCATCGAAGGATTTAATTTAATTTATTTTTATTTTTTTGAGAGGGAGTTTTGCTTTTGTTTCCCAGGCTGGAGTGCAGTGGCTCGATCACGGTTCACTGCAACCTCTGCCTCCCGGGTTCAAGCGATTCTCCTGCCTCGGCCTCCCGAGTAGCTGGGATTATAGGCGCCCGCCACCACGCTTGGCTAATTTTTTGTGTTTTTAGTAAAGATGGGGTTTCACCATGTTGTCCAGGCTGGTCTCAAACTCCTGACCTCAGTTAGTCCACCCGCCTCGGCCTCCCAAAGTGCTGAGATTACAGCCGTGAGCCACCTTGCCCTGCCCACTGAAGGATTTTAACCAGCAAAGTGACATAAACGTAGTGGTGTTTAGAAAGATTGCTCTAGCTCTGGCATGTATATTCGATGGGACTGGAAGCAGGAAAACCTGGTAGGATATTGTTTGGATAATTGGTTAGAATAGGCACTGGATTCATTCTGTCTAGGTTCCAACACAGCTTTCCAGCTGTGAAACTGGGCAAGTTACTTAACCTCTCCCAGCCTCAGTGACCTCATCTGTAAAATAGGGATAATAATGGGTCCAATTTTGAGGATTAAATGAGATTTACAGTGCTTATCACAGTGCCAGATACACAGTGAACATTAGTTCAACTGGACCGGTGAATGTTGCCCTAAAGGTTCAGATCCCTTGTGGTTAGAAGCTGGTTAAAATGGTCATTGAAGGGAAACTGAACCACTTAACCTGAGGGTGGCTCCAGTATCTTTGTGTGGAGTCAAGTTTCGTTTTTGTTTTTTGAGATGGAGTCTTTCCCTGTCACCCAGGCTGGAGTGCAGTGGCGTGATCTCAGCTCACTGCAACCTCCACCTCCCAGGTTCAAGCGATTCGATTCTCCCACTTCAGCCTCCCGAGTAGTTGGGATTACTGGCGCTTGCCATCATGCGTGGCTAATTTTTGTAATTTTAGTAGAGATGGAGTTTCGCCATGTTAGCCAGGCTGGTCTCGAACTCCTGACCTCAGGTGATCTGCCCACCTCAGCCTCCCAAAATGCTGGGATTACAGGAGTGAGCCACTGAGCTCAGCCATGGAGTCAAAGTTTTGATCTGCATATTTGCAGGTTCGGAACTTTGTTGTCTGAGCTCACAGAGATGAACAGAGGTCCATAGAAGGCACTTGGGGGTCGGACTGGGGTATAGCAGTCAGACTGATGGGAGGATGATACACAGATCAAATGCCAGGTGATTTGTTTATAGAGAGAAATACAACTGCTTAGGGTACCTGACAGTTCACAAAGTGATACCTCTATAGTCACTTCTTTATTTTAGCACATTGGAACCCAGGTTATAAAGACAAATGTTTGTTGGGTTAAAGACCATTATATGTCCAAACCGATTAGCACCCTAACCACCAGAGTTTCCGTCTGCCAAATGTAGTCTTGGAGGCACACTAACAAATTCTTGATTTGTGGATATCATTTTTCACCTTGAAGCTCATCTCCCTCCTGATAACAAGCTTCTTGTTGATTAGATTTTTAGTTTTAGCGCCATTCTAGCTCCTCCTTTACTCAGTCTTTTTAATGAGATTTGGATATTCCATAGCACTTGAGTCACATACCTATAATCTGCACAATGGTAAATGGCTCTAGTATGTATGGATTGGATTCATTTGGGGACACACTATATACTCTCATCCCTGCAACTGACACGACATAGACAAAGGCGATTATAATATGAGAAAGACCGATTTTAAGGGAAGAGAGAATAGCAGATTACTGGGTAGAGGTCAGGCCTAAAACAGGGTGGCATGGGAGAATTCCAAGGAAAGGGCTGTGGGTAGAAGACTGAGCTAAGAATCTGTTGAGAAAGATGGACACATGGACAAGAAGGCCATGGGAAGTTTTGGGGAGGGCCAGAGGTGCTTTTGTCCAAAAGAGCAGAGTCTCATCCCTGTCTATTTCTCCTTGCAGACGGTGGGCAAAAGCAGCAAGATGCTGCAGCATATTGACTACAGGATGAGGTGCATCCTGCAGGACGGCCGGATCTTCATCGGCACCTTCAAGGCTTTTGACAAGCACATGAATTTGATCCTCTGTGACTGTGATGAGTTCAGGAAGATCAAGTGAGGAGTGGACTGTGGGGGGCGGAGACTGGAGGATGGGAATGGATTGAGTGGGTGGGCCAAGCAGTAGAGGTGGTGATGTAGCTAGTTGGTTCTTCTCTGTTTATTCTCCAGTTTTAGAGGGCAGACTTAAATGGGGACATTGAACACTAAGAAATCTTTTTCAGTCCAGCAAACCTTGCTCTCTAGGTCTAGCAAAGTACAAGTTGTGAAGGGCTGCTAGGCTTTTTGTTTCTCTGACTTTGTGTGCCCCTGGGTACTGGGGTAAAGGGCTCTCATGTTCTCCCCACAGGTGTGTGAGGGGGGAGAGCTTGAGTTTCTGGCCTCATTGCCTATTTGTAAAGCTGTAGCCTAAAGGGCTCTCCCAATGCAGCCTGGTCTGAAACTGCTTTAAGAAGCCTCTGACCCTCTTCAGGGTAAGTGCTCAGCTCCCCATGTGGGTTTGGGGCCAGTGATTTTTGTTGGCATTTATACAAACAATTGGAGATATTTTCTACTTCGCTACAATTACATAAGTTATTGGCTAACTCCCTTGTCTTGAGTCTCACAGATGTTAAGCTTTTGGCCCATTAAAAGATAAGATCTCGCTTCCCATCATGTTTTACATTCAAGGCTACTTGAGGCACTAAAAGATGATGTGACTTCCGTGGTTATCAGCTCTTTTGTCATATGCAGTGTCCATATTATGTTGTCCCTCGCTTTGAATTCCCTTTGATTCTCCTTGGGGCTGATTTCTTCTGTGGCCCAAGGTCGAGAAGTATAGTTTAAAAATGTGGTAGGGATGCCTGGGTGCCAGGTACATATTAGAGGGGCCAACAGATGAGTGTGGAGCTACTCCAAAGTTCCCTCCTGATAATAAAAAATTTATTGGAAAATATTTTTGAAAATACAAAGAAGTCTATGAGTAGAAACTAAAATATCCAGAAGGGTTTTTTCTAATTATGAAAGGACAATACATGGTTGTTATTTTAAAAAATAAGAAAATGTGAGCCGAAAAAGGGAAAAACTGTCCATCCGCAGACAACCAGTTGATGTACTGTAAAATATCAGAACAAAATCTTTTGAGTTCTTTTTTTAAATCAGGCTATTTTTTCCCCTTTATTTTTAGGATCTTAGCTTTAGCTTTTTTCCCCCACTTTCCTATCCTGTTGCAGTTATTTTTCCTACTTCACATTTATATTTTGTTCATCTTTTTCTGGTTATTGCTTTTTGGGGGTTTCTGTTTTTGTGCTTTTGAGGAACAGATATGAAATTTCAGTTTCTGTGTATGTGAAATTTCTCTTAACCTTTTCCTTCTATGGCTTCTATTTCTGATGTAAGATAAGGGGCAGAATTATAGGCCTGTGAGGTTGAATTGATATTGGAAGGACACTGCACGTGAGGTGGGTGGGAGTCATTGGACTGGAATTGTTTAGGCAGCCTCCTGATGTTGGCAAGGCCTTAAGCTGAAGGGAGGTAATAGGGTCGTAAGAAAGAAGACTTAGCTGAGGGAAGGGCCTTCACAGTTGCTGTGGAATAGTATATGGGCCAGAGCTGGGCTTTGTTGGCCCTGTCCTATCTCTTGGTCAGTGTGTCCTCTTGTGGTAGGAAACAGGTAGATAGCCACCTAAGAGGTTATGTGTTCAGCCTGCAGAGACTATCCAGGAGGGCTATCTTGAGAAAGTTTGTGTACTATTTGTTAGGAGATGCAGTGTAAGCAAATCTTGGAGGCCACTAGGCAGGTGAACTACCTACCTCTAACACTTTTTTTGTTTCTTCTAAACCTCTCTTTAGGCCAAAGAACTCCAAACAAGCAGAAAGGGAAGAGAAGCGAGTCCTCGGTCTGGTGCTGCTGCGAGGGGAGAATCTGGTCTCAATGACAGTAGAGGGACCTCCTCCCAAAGATGTAAGTCAGAGCAGGAAGCCTTGTGGAGGAGGGAGGCCCTACCGTGAGCCAGGCTCTGTGTTAGATTCTGTTTCACTGCGGTTCTCACAGGCATCCTCTGGATTTTGCCCCCTTTTTCAGATAATAAATAGAATGTTAAAGAGGTTACCCTGCAAGAAAGAAGTGGAAAAAGGGAACTAGAATTTGGGTATCTCTGACTTTAAAGCTCTACTTCTTTCTCAGATGATGTACATAGTGAGTCATTGGAGGAAGCACCTGAGGCCATCTGGGTCAGTCCTTAATGTGATGATAAAGCCTAGGTGGACTTTAAAAAGTTGTAACTCCAAAACAGTGGAATATGTGTGTATTTTGTTTTGTACAGTTACAGTTCATAGTTACTGAGAATCTGCTTTGCGCCAACCACTTCAGTATTTTATTTGATCCTCATAAGTCTTTAGAGATAAATTCTCACCTTATAAATAGAGTAAAACAGGGCTTAGTAACTTGCCCACGGTGCCACAGCTACTGAGTGGTGAAACTGACATTTGATCTCAGACAATCTTGATTCTGTAAACACCAAGCTACACATAGAAATAGAACAGGCTTTAGAGACCTAGTGAAATTTGTTTTCCCTTTCCCTTTTGCATTTGAAGGCTTTTTTTTTTTTTTTTTGAGGTGGAGTCTCGCTGTGTCGCCAGGCTGGCGTGATCTTGGCTCACTGCAACCTCTGCCTCCCGGGTTCAAGCGATTCCCTTGCCTCAGCCTCCCGAGTAGCTGGGGTTACAGGTGTGCGCCGCCACGCCCAGCTAATTTTTGTATTTTAGTTTCAGTTTCACCATGTTAGCCAGGATGGTCTTGATCTCTTGACCTTGTGACCTGCCCACCTTGGCCTCCCAAAATGCTGAGATTACAGGTGTGAGCCACCGGGCCCTGCCAAGACATTATTTTAATCAAAAGAGAATAATCCTTTTAACTTTTTACAAGTCCACATAGATTATCTGAATTTTTTTGTACTTAACACATAATATGCATATATTATGTTGTTCTGTGTTTTCACTTAATGTTAGCATTTTTCTAATTGTTCTACACCAAGTCAAGTTAACGACTGAAAGATTTTCTCAAGTGAGTACCGAGTAGTTTATCCTCGTCATTTTCTTTTTTGGGGATTTTTACGTTTCTGCCTTTTCCAGTTATAAATGTCTGCAAGGGATGTTAGCATATCTTGGTTCAAAGCCCATGTACATATTCAAATTTCTTAGTACCTACTTCCAATAGAATTGGCTGGTCTAACGTAACCCATTGTAAACCTTTGTGATCACAACCAGTTTTACCATAACCATGTCATTTGCAGATGAGGCAGCTCAGCCTGGGATTGTGGGATTATTTGCCCATTGTCACCTAGCGGATTAGAATCAGCTGGGAATGGATCTCATGTCCCTTTAATGCCTTGCCTGCTGAACCCTGAGTAGAACCCTGGCCCTTTGCTCTTGGTTGAACTTTCACAGGAGTGCATATAGGTGGTTGAGTTGTGGCATGTTTCTCTAGACTTACTCTTAAGTTCTACCCTGCTTCAGGGGTCACTCATAGTCTTGATGGAGGAAGAGTGGTGTTGGCACACATGGAGAGGTAGTATTTATAAGCTGTTTCGATGCCCTCTAAATCTGAGGGGCTCTCTTGGCAATGATTTTCCAAAGTATGCTTCTGATCTTCAGGCCACTGGGCGTCAGAGCGTGTTTGTTTATTTTTCAGACTGGTATTGCTCGAGTGCCGCTTGCTGGAGCTGCCGGGGGCCCAGGGATCGGCAGGGCTGCTGGCAGAGGAATCCCGGCTGGGGTTCCCATGCCTCAGGCTCCTGCAGGACTTGCTGGGCCAGTCCGTGGGGTTGGCGGGCCATCCCAACAGGTGAGGGGTTGGGGAAAGGGTACCACCTCCTGGTGGCTAAAATAAAGGATAAAGGGGAGGGCCCATAGTTTCAAAAGGGTCCAGAGTGACCAACCTATGATTGTCAGACTATCAGTGTTTCACTGTGGTTTCTACATGGCCCTAGAATCAAGTGAAAAATGATAATTTGCCATTGTAAATTATGTTGATGCTATCAAAGAGATGTACGAATTAGCCAACTTTATTTAAGGAAAATATTTTCATGACAACATTTGAAATCATGAGTCATATTTGAAAGGCAGTTGCCTTCTCTCACTTGGATTGGACATCCTTACATTCAGGTCTAGAAGATGGGAGTTGGGCATTCAAGCTTGATCTTTCCTGACATGTGGTTTTGGATAGGAAGTCTGGTGCTGAGAGTTGCGGCATTAAGGGATTTGGTGTCTGCTGTTTCCCGCTGTCCTTCCCCTGGTTGGGGAGGAGAGTGGGAAGCTGCATTGTAGTGCACTCTTCTAACTCTTTCTTCTTATATCCTGTTAGGTGATGACCCCACAAGGAAGAGGTACTGTTGCAGCCGCTGCAGCTGCTGCCACAGCCAGTATTGCCGGGGCCCCGACCCAGTACCCACCTGGCCGTGGGGGTCCTCCCCCACCAATGGGCCGAGGAGCACCCCCTCCAGGTGAGGAGCCCATAAGGAGACCAGTGCTAATTGATAGAAGATGCCTTAGCTGGATTAATGATGAGATATAACTTCACTGAAACTGATGATGAGTTTATATAATTAAGCAGGATTACTCTGAGATCCAGCGTGGCTGACTGATGAAACTAGTAGGACAAGAACCATTGGGAGCCCTAGGTGCTTCCAATGTCAGTTTCTGGGAGCTGCTGAGAGGGTGGAATGGTCCCTGTTTCTCAGAACTTGGTGGAAAGCTTGGTAGTTTTTTTGCTACCTTTTCAAGATAGACACTTGAGCTATATTCTTGGGGCTTTTCTCTTGCAGGCATGATGGGCCCACCTCCTGGTATGAGGCCTCCTATGGGTCCCCCAATGGGGATCCCCCCTGGAAGAGGGACTCCAATGGGCATGCCCCCTCCGGGAATGCGGCCTCCTCCCCCTGGGATGCGAGGTAAGTGCCTGCAGTGGTAAAACTTCGGCTTCTTTCCCTAGAGCCTAGTGGGATAGGAAATGGAGGGAAGATTGCATTTAGACCATATCCCATGGGCTTTCAAGCCTTAAGTCTAGGGAAATCCAGAAAGGAAAGAGAAGAGGGAACATGCATTTCTTAAATTGGGCTTACCACCCCTCTTAGAACAGTTAGAGCAGCCCTGTACCCAAAGTGTTTCTCAGTATCTGAGGCAGTGGCCTCAGGACACTATGAAATAATGCATTCTGAGGATCTCTAACAAAAGTTATGAGATTGTCTTATTGCTCTTTGGTTTGACAGTGCCTAGTAATTAAGAGGGGGCTCTGGGCTTTGCTATATTATTATTATGGATTTCTCTTTAACTTCAGTTGGAGAAATTCTGAGATCAGTCCCCACATGGATAAGAAAATAGGCCCCCAGAGAGTTTGGACTCCAAGCCCAGTGTTCTTTCCCCATAAAATAACCCATTGGCAAACTTGGTGACCCCTGTTTCTTTAGTCTGGGTTATTCCTCTATGGGTTTTTATAGGCATAGGAACCCAGTCAGCCTCAGAGAAATCCCTAGTTAGCACATATGCCATGTATACCCCTCTCCTCACTTGATTACTGCAGGGCCTGGGAGGCTGGGGCAGGGTTGGGGATTCAAGTTGCAGATCAGGCACTGACTAAACTTCTTACTCTTACTTCAGGCCTTCTTTGACCCTTGGCCACAGAGTATGGAAATAGCTCCGCAGAGGCGTGGGCTCGATTCCTCAGGGCCACGTTACCACAGACCTGTTTGTTTCTTATGCTGTTGTTCGCGGAGTCTCACGGGATTGTCTGGTTTCCCTTACAGGGCCCCCTCCCCCGGGAATGCGCCCACCAAGGCCCTAGACTCATCTTGGCCTTCCTCAGCTCCCTGCCTGTTTCCCGTAAGGCTGTACATAGTCCTTTTATTTCCTTGTGGCCTATGAAACTGGTTTATAATAAACTCTTAAGAGAACATTATAATTGCACCTATGTGTCTTTATTTTTAGAAAAATCTTTGATATATTGGGTGCTTAATAGAGTCAAGAAGGGTTGCCTTGGAAAAATCCCTCAGCTTCTTCCCTATAAAACATTTTACTACCCATTTGCATCTGTACATCCTTGTACACTAAGATAATTAAAAATTGAACATTTTCAATTGAAAAGTGACATTTTCACTTAATCAAATTCAAAGATCAGTTTTGTTGAAATCAGTACCCATAATATCTTCTTGGGAAGGCACTTACCTGGATAGCTCCTCCATGAAGCAAATGCTAACAATGAAAATTCTACTGGGAGAGGAACAATTTTGGCATAACTTTCTGCCAGGGTCACACACATAACGTATAGCCTAACATAACTTTTGAGTTGTGGTATCTTCATGATTTCTTCCACCCAAAGCCTGTATTCACTGAGCAGCACTCTAGTACTTAGTGCATCAAGCTCTAAGGGTACAAAAATAAGGTGAACACTGTTCTAAAGTTGCTGTGTAGGGGGGAGATAATTGTAAATGCAGTCAGCGGCACTTGCCACATTAATAGAAGAAGAAAAAGCCATAGGATCTTCTCAACAGATGCAGAAAAAACATTTGAGACGATTTCAATACCCTTTGATGATAAATACAGCAAATTGGGAATAGAAGGGATTTTTTTTTTTTTTTTTAAAGAGAGAGTGGGGTCTCACTGTGTTGCCCAGGCTGGTCTCAAGACTTCTGCCCTCAAGGTATCCTGCCTCTGCCTGGGATTGCAGGCATGAGTCACTGCACCCAGCTCAGAAGGCAGTTTTTAAACAAGATTAAGGGATTTATGAAACATAGCTAACAATAGTGAAAGACTGAAAGCTTTACCCTTACAATTAGGAATAAGACAAGGGTTCCCACTTTGGCCACTTCCAACATTGTACTGGAAGTTCTAACCAGAGTGATTAGGCAAGAAAAAGAAGAATTGCAATTGGAAAGGAAGAAGTAAAACTATCTCTGCGGAAGATATCCTGTGTATGGGAAACCATCTACAAGATAGCTACTAGAGCTAATGAATGAATTCAGCAGTTTTAGGGTACAAGATCACATAAAAACTATTCCATACACCACCAACAATCTGAAAGGAAATAGAAAAGAATTCCAGTTGGGATAGCAATCGAAAGAATACCTAAGAAAGCAAGCAATACCAGAATACCCAGGAATCAAACCATGGTAATGAGACTACTGAAAACTACAAATCCTGAAAGAAAACTAAGTAGATGAGGAAAGACAACATGTTCATGGTTCCAGACTTACTATTATAGTAGCAAAGAATAGTCTCCAGACATTCAATGTAATCCCTATAAAATTGCAGTGGTCATTGCAGAATTGGAGAAGCTAATCCTCATATATATGAAGCTGCAAAAGACCCCAAATAGCCAAAACAATCTTGATCACATTAGTAGAAGTCTCACAAAACTTAGAAAACTAATCAGAGCTGCATCTGACAAAGATAGACGATGGATAGATGAGGGTACAGAAATAAACCTTTACATAAATGGTCAATTGATTTCCTGCAATGGTACCAAAACCATCTATTGGGGCAAGAGTAGTCTTTTCAGATGGTACTGGGACAACTGGATGACCACAGGTAAAAGAATGAAGTTGGAGCTCTACCTCATATACCTTTGTTTATCACTCATTAACTCAAAATTGGTAAACAATCTATAAGAGCTAGATCTATTAGAAGAAAATGAGTAAGTCCTCATGACCTTGGATTTGGCAATGGATTATTGGATTGGACACTGAAAACAAGCAACAAAAGAAAAAATATGCAAATGGGACTTCATCAAAATTGAAAACTTGTACATCCAAGAATGCGGTGACGAATGTGCAAAACAACTTACAGAAGGGGTGAATATTTTTGCAAACTATCTGATAGTCTGATATCTATAGTTTGCTATGTGAACTGTGAAAAGAATTCTTGTAAAAAGATAACCCTTTTCAAAAATGAGAGGAATTGAACAAGTATTTCCCCAAAGAAGATACACAAATGGCCGAAAAGTACATGAAAACTGGTTCAACATCATTGGTTATTAAAGAAATGCAAATCAAAACTACAATAAGATGCCAGCTCATACCCAAAAGGATGGCTCATTTATTAAAACAAAAAACAAACCAAAAAAACAACTCTTGGTGAGGATGTGGAGAAACAGGAGCCCTCATGCATTGCTGGTGAGAATGTCAAGTGGTGTAGCCCCTATGGAAAACAGTGGCAGTTCCTGAAGGCTAAACAGAATTACCATATAATATGGCAGTTCCACTCCTAGGTATTTTTATCTGTGGTAATAATATGAAATATATTTAGCCTTTGTTCCTGGTTCCTGTCACAGCACCTAAAAAACACTTGGAATTTCCTATGTAATGGGAGTATCTGTTATTTGTAATCAGCACATTTGGTAATACGTGAATTCATGCTAATGAGATGACTTAGAGTGGGACCCCTAGCTAGCCTCACGATGGGGCCAGCCACCAGAAAGACCCAGTGATGAGAAGGCTGGAACTTTCACTCCCAACTACCCCCAGCCTCCTGGAGTAGAGGTGGCTGGAGATAAAGCTCTATAAAAACTCATCAACAATGAGATTTGATGAGCTCTTCCCAAAAGCTAAACTGCCCTTTTAAAACTAGTGAAAGGCACTAAAGTTAGGAGGATGAGAGGGGCCTGAATTGTACTAAGATGCAGGCCTGTGAGTTCAGAAGCAAGACAGAGTCAGCCATGTCAGATTTCTCTTACTGTCACTTTTGCAAAGGCAGTTTCATACACAGAAACTTGTATACAAGTGTTTATAGCAGAATTATGCATAACAGCCCAAAGGTGGAAACAACCCAAAGTATTCAACATATAATGGATAAACAGATTGTGGTATATACTGTCAACCTAAATAAACAGAGGCTGTAAAAGAAAATGATACCTATTCATGAACAGGGCATTGCAATGGGAGTCCGTGTGCCATAGTAAACTATGTGTATTCAGGGAGGTAAAAGAAGACAGATTAAAAGGAAAAACAAGGATTATGTAATTGTCTTGGGATAACCTTAACTCCAAGGATTAATAATAAGTCCTGGTGGCACCAGTCTGAGGTTGGACAAGCGGTGGCCAGGCAGAAGTCCTTGCAGAAATATTTTTGTATGTATATAAGGTTGCAATGGTCTTTGTGCAAGATTATGTTTTTACAGTCTTTTGTGATAGTTTTTGTTATTTATGCATCAGAATCCTCCATAGCATTTTTAGGCTTTGTCAGGGATTTTTAAAAGACATACAGGTGACTCCATTTTGGTTCTGACAACTTTCACAATACATATAATGGACTACAATAGAGCCGAAAGGAAAGAAATACTGATACATGTTACCATGTAGAAAAAAGCCAGACATGAAAAATCTCCTATTATACAATTGCTTTTATGGGGATATTTGCTACCCATAATAGACAAATCTGTAGGGACAGCAGATTAGAGGTTTCCAGGGGTGGGAGCAGCAGGAAATTGAGTGGCAGAGTCTCACTCTGTCACCCAGGCTGGAGTGCAGTGGGGCAATCTTAGCTCATTGCAGCCTTGAACTCCTGGGCTTTAGCCGTTCTCCTGCCTCAGACTCCGGAATAGCTGGGACTACAGGCACACCCCACCAATGCCCAGCTAATCCTTCCTCACTCCCTTCCTGACTCCTTCCTTCCTTTCCCCTTTTCCTTTTCTTTCCTCTCCTCTCTTCTCCTTGCCCCTCGCCTCCTCTTTTCTCTTTTCCCTTCACTTTCTTTTTCTTTTTCTTTTTTTTTTTTTTTGGTAGAGACAGGGTCTCACTTTTTTGCCCAGGCTTCTTGTTTCTACTTTTAAATTACCTATGTCCTCTTTTGTATATTGTCTTAAACACAAAACTTGTGATAGACATTTTTCCATGTTGTTATACAAGTCTTAATGATTACTTAATGCAGTCTAACTTGGGCATTGCTCTTATTTTGGGAATTCATATTTCTGATTTTTCGTAACTGTAAATCAGGCAATGCTGGATAATTTGCATAAAAGTATTTTTTATTTGGCGTTTCTAGGCTTTTAGGAGCAACAGTCATGATTCAAAGGCAGGGGCTGGAAAGAAGGAAACTGTCATTTATTGAACCGAGGCATGTGCATGACCTATCTCTGGAAGTCTGTATATAACGAATTGGCCAGTTTGATTGCCTGTGGGGAAAGGAACCTGGTTTGAGAGGAGTAGAAAAGATAGGGAGAATTTTCACTGAATACCAGTTAGAACCTTTTACATATTGAGCCTGGTGCAGATGGCTCACGCCTGTAATTCCAGCACTTTGGGAGGCCGAGGCGGGGGAATCACCTGAGGTCGGGAGTTCGAGGCCAGCCTGACCAATATGGAGAAACCCCGTCTCTACTAAAAATACAAAATTAGCCGGGGGTGGTGGCGCATGCCTGCAGTCCCAGCTACTTGGGAGGCTGAAGCTAGTCGCTTGAACTCGGGAGGCGGAGGTTGCAGTGAGCCGAGACCGTGAAACTCCATCTCTAAATAAATAAATAAATAAATAAATAAATAAATAAATAAATATTGAACCATTAAGTGCCTTACCTAGTTAAAAAAATTAATTGCATTAAAAAAATTTAAGTGTGAAATAATGTGTTTTTAAAAACCTCCATCAAATCCACAAGGGGGCAGCATTGCTTTGCAGGGAGGAAGGAAGCCGCAAGTGCGTGGGCTCCGCCTTAGCATGGGTGCTGGGATCGTGACTTACATTTTTTTCCTATTTTCTGTATTGTCCCCATTTTCTACTAAGACCTATATAGAAATAAAATACATTTTATTTAAAGAGAGGAGGAAGTGTCAGGCCCTGTCCCTCTTTAGCCATGTAGCCATCCCTCTGTATTTAAATTCCTAAAAGTAGAATTCTGAGGAGCGGGGGCGGGGTTACATTTAAAGTATTGGTAGAGGGTCGGACGCAGTGGCTCACGCCTGCAATGCCGAGGCGGGC